CGACAAACTACACATGATGTCCCTTTTGGTAAAGGATGTAAACTTGCGAGTCAAAGTCGGAAAAGAGAAAGGTGAAAACATCTAAACAGAAAAAGGGATGCACAGGGTGACTGTCTAAGTGCAGTACTTTTCATCTTCTACCTTGTCAGATCCATGAATACCGAGAAGGCAGCAACAGATCCATCCAGAAAGAACAACTACTTTGAAATAAACCCTCAGTATGTTGATGACATCACATGGGCATCTATTGCGAAACATCGAATAGATCCTATCAAAAGAAACCATTGCTGGTAAACTTGAAGAAAGAAACCTGCGAATGAATCAATCAAAAACGGAAGAATATAACATCGAGCAAAAGGGAAATGAAGCATGGAAAGAATGCAGAGTTCTAGGAAGTCTACTAGGTACAGAAAAAGACATCAACAGAAGAAAGATATTAGCAGTTGATGCCTACAGAACGCTCAACAGCATTTTCAGCAGCAGGAAAAACTCTATCAAGATCAAACTGAGAACTTTCAAAGCCTATGTAGCAAGTGTATTTTTGTATAATAGCGAGCTTTGGACACTAACGAAGAAGCTATAAAACACCATCGACACCTTCCAACGTAGACATCTAATAAAGATCCTAAGGATTAACTGGCAAAGAGATATTACCAACGACGAGCTCCATGTCAGAACGAAATATGAACCACGGAGTGAAATAATAAGAGAAAAGAGACTAACATGGGTAGGACATCTCATGCGCTTGCATCCAGAAACACCAGCAAGGAAAACCCTTAAAGAATATCTCAGGAAAATAAAACGGCCACAAGGAAGACCAAAGACGAACTGGATGCAGACAGTGAGGCAAGATTTGGCCAGCATCGGAATTAAACTGGATCTCTCAAAAGATACACAAACATTGAATAGATTATCTGAACTGACACAGGATAGAAAGAAATGGCGTGGCATTGTGAGACGCGTCGTGCAGTATTAACTGCGTGTGATGTCTTAGTAACAGTAGTAGTAGTAGTAGTAGATTATAATAGAAGTGAGCTTCAGAATACCATGCCAAAGATAATACGATAGGCAAGGTCCAGAGTAGTAACATCGCATTCCACAAGCTATGTTATGTTTCCTAACACAAGCATTCAGTTTGCTCAAAATGCTCATTACAACCATTTTCGTTTTGTAGCCATGTTTAAGCTTGTATTTATACCAATTTACTTTTGAAAGTTTTTCGATCCTATATTGCCACAAAATATTATTACGCACTCAAAGTATGTCATAGATAATTTGTTAATTGGTGTGAAAACCACCCCTTGGTAAGTGGTTCGTGTGCCTGATAAGTTAATCACTGAAAGTTTTGCTGTAACAGTAAAAAACTTTACATATCTTGATTCTCAAGAAAAACTGGTGAAAAAATTGAGCATGTATTGCAGGCTGTAGTGGACCAATGCAAGCCCCCTCTCAGGATGTAAGGGCAGCACCAAGATGAACACAAGCTTTTGCACACCTAATAATCTGTTGGTTCAGATAATACTTTAATTGGAAAAATTAGCTTTACTTACTGATGAGGTATTTCTTCCTCTGGGTTTAGAGATTCCCTATGTGCAGGGTTCCCTTTTGTTCCTAGCCTATTAAAGGTCTCAGGGTGATAATTGTAGCTTCCTTGCACATCAATTCTTGAAAAAATTGCAGGTACAATGTGAAGTGGTTGTTGTTCATCTAATAGACTGCTTGTTTCGACAGTTGAAAATGCATTCTGCAATGGCTTTGGTGTGATATACTGAAAGTCCACCAGAGACATAAACCTTAAAGTAAAATGAAAATAAAGTTAGATTATCCGAATGCTGCAACAGAAAAGACTTTTCCAATGCTATATCTTTTAATTTATGATAAACTTAAGGATACTAATAGCTATAATTATTTAATGGAATAAGTTAGTGTCCAAATGCATCTGTAGTATTCAGATTTAATAGGTACCAGATTTAATTCTCTGTAGGTACCAGATTTTATTGACTTTGTGTCTTGGCGTCAATAGTCAGTCATTTTAACAGCCTAGCTTTTTGCAAATATATTAATTTGAAGCCTCTTTGCCAGCAATACAATTTGGAAGGTTTAGGCAAGGTAAAAAAGTTTCTGCTTTTAACTTCTGGATCAAAAATAACTGTTGTTTAAAAAAGATATTGGGCCATCAGACATTGTTTAGATAACCCAGATTGTGTTAAGAACTATAATGACAATATGTTTCAGATAATTGGCAGAGCCTTGGTCATTTTATCCTCAGCAATTTTGAAATCTATCTACATAACAACAAAAAAACCACCATTGCAGAGATTGAACGAGTGTTTTTTCTCCCTTGTCTCCAGTGATGGTTTTTTCTAAGGACAGGTGGTACTGATAAGACAACTATTTTGGTCATGTGCTTGTGTTTTCCCAATTGGCCTATTCGATCCACAACTGGGTATATATTTTTCATCCTATTTTTTGAACCCTAATTATGATATTATCTCTGAGGGGTGTAAGAAAAAAATGTTTTTAGTATGTTGGAAAATGTTTGCTTTTTTCAAAGACATTAGAAAATCAAAATAGCCAGCTCAAACAAAATTTAATGAATCAAGGAAAAGGTTACAATTTTATTAAATTATTGAATTTACTCAAGCTACTTTTAAAGCAAATTTCTGATAACAACTCAGTTAATTATACCATGGTTCTTGCAGCAAAGACCTTTCATCTCCTAGCTTAGTAAATCTCTTGAGTCGTTAGAAACCCTTAGTATATTCATTACTGTTCTAGTCTGGGAAAATTTTTTTAGCACCGCAAAACTGCACACTTTGAACAGCCCAAAATTGATGCAGTTTCACATCATTTGCCAAAAAAATTTTCAAGCAATTCTCGTAACTTAGCTCTTTGATTTTAAAACCCAGTGCTTACATGTCAAGGACTAGAGATATTTACAGTTTTTTTTCGAATTTTCCTACATGCATGAAAAACTTCCAAATACAAGCAATATCCTGTCAGAAATATATTGACAAAATATTATTGAAAAATCTTTCAAAAATTTTGGACAAAACTTCTTTGAATTCGTCCCAATACTATCGAAATGTAAGTGTTATTATAAGGTATCAAGCGTAGAATTCTGCCCCAAAATCATAACATCAGGGTTACACAAATAGGGACGTACTACTGATACTCCAGGGTGCATTCCATGAAGCAAATTCAGAAGATCTTTGGAGCTGAGTTGAGTAATTTGGTGTTGTGTTGGGTTGAGAAAAGTACCTTCAAGAATGTGGCATAAACTGTGATTTTGGTAATGGCAAAGTCCAGTCGGCAGATAATTTTAAAAAGGCTAGCTTTGCATGCCAAAATTTGAAACTGCATGCAAAATTTAAAATTTTCTATAGGATGCACTCTTAGCCTAAATATCTGGACAAAATGGACACCAAATATATTTATAGACATCCAGCATTTAATGCAAATGAGGAGCTTTGATGAGAAAGGAGGAAAATATATTGGAAACAATGGAGATGTGAATGCTCAAACTGATTATTGGGGTGTCATTGAGAGGAATGATGAGATCAGAAAGGAGCTAGAAATGTGTATATTTACAGCAAAGGCAAGGGAAAATAGGCTTAGATGGTTTGGACACTTGAACAGAGGGGATTATGGAAAACTGGCAAAAGACATCATGTCTAAAGAAGTGAATGGAAAACAAGGCCGGGGAAAACCAAGGACGAGATGGAAGGATAACATCAAAAGGGACATATGCAGGAACTGAACCTGACCGGGGAAGATGCAGAGGAAAGAAAACAATGGAGATGGAGGATTCGGGCAACCAACCCTGATTAATTGTGATAAGGTTAAGGAGAAGAAGAAGAAGAAGAGGAAGACAAAGAAGATGAAGTATTTGATGCAAATCTTTATACCAGCCTTCAATTCCTATATACCAGCATATCAGGAGAAGCATGTCATTTACTTCATACCCAAGGTGGCGCCGGGTGCCGCAGGAGAATTGAGAATTTTTTTATATCCATGGTTCCAGTTTGCTGGAAAATGCCCTCCATGAAGCAATTTTTAATCTAAAACCTTTCTCATAGATGAAAATACATAGGAAAAAGCTATTTGAAAGTTTTGATCATATTTTTGGTGTCCTTGATGTGTTTTTTAGCTTATTCAACATTATTGGATCTTGAGATCAACTATGACAGTATCTCTCAAACAGTTAGAAGTTCTGAAAAAGACGCGAGCAGGTAATTTGCAAGAGGTCTTGGCCTACCATTACCCTTAGCTGCTATACATTTAAGCATCTCTTAAAGAGCAAGGCACTTGGAGATTAATGCTGAAATTGTGTGTAGCGCAAAGCCTTATCAGGTAGGGCATAAAACAAAAAAGAAGCAAAGAAAATTGAATAAAGAAATTCTTTAAGAATTCATAAAATTGAAAAAATATAGAGGCTTCACAAATTTTTAAGTTTTCTTAAAAATACCAAGTGTAATGGTGGTGCCACAATAAACCTATGAAAAGCCATGCAAATTTTGGACTTGTTACAAGGCACAAGCAAGTGCTTCAGTATCTGGTTCATCAATATCAGGGTACAAAAAACCCATGAGCTCCTCCTGGACAATAAATTGGGGCTGATATGTTTTCCTGGAAATACTGTGCTTGCACACCTGATAACTAGTAAACAGCAATTTTACATGCAGCACACGTGGCAGAAATGACAGTGGATGTAGAAGATCCTGTCGAGAACTGCCATACTCTGCAGAATGGGGCCTAGTAATGCAGTACAGAGCTTTTTCTGTGATTTTTTGCATACTAAGTAGCCTATAATCTACAATGTACAAATAAATTGCCTTTGAAAGATTGGCTGGGAGGAGGTTGGTGGGGATAATGATTGCACATGAACTTTGGCACACACCTAGTCTTTCTGTGGCACACTTTTGGGGTGAGGTTTTCATTTAATGTACCCTGACTGACACTGGGTAGGCGAAAAAAAACTATACAACATGAATACCTACCTATATGTGTTATGGACTATACCAATAACTTCCTGCTCATACTTCCACTCGTTTACTGGTTCATTCGATGGATTTTTTTTTCTTCGTCTTTTCAGTTTTACCAGCAATGCTCTTGAGGGCTGCAGATCACCACAAACACTGTGACAGTATGGATCGCTAGGCCTGAAATGTAGTTCTACTCTTCTTTTTGTATTGAAGTAAGTATCTGACAATTGTTCTTCACCTCCAAGGGTCTTCAACATACCCTCAACATCCTTTATGTAGCCTGGATACTCCACACATAAATATCGATCAGTTTTGAACGCCCCTAATCTGCCTGAACTCGTCGCAGACATTTTTTTATCACGATCAAAAGACTGAAATTTGCGAACTGTAGTACGGCTTCAAAACGCAAAATGTCTACTAAAAATGAAGAAAAATACAATTCATGTTTTAGGTTCACTTCATTGTATAATTCACCTAAAAAAACGAGGAAGTATTTCTGCATGCACTATTTCATTGTAGAAACGCAAATTTCACATCTTGTAACGTACATCATAATCGCCAATAGCAGTATAGTAAAAGAAAAACAACAACAACGATTTTCGGGAGAACTATTTGAATAGCCTCTTCTCCGCTCAAGGATAGGAAGGAAATTCGATCGCCAAGTATACACGTGCAAATTTGGTGAAAGGGAAAACAGGTAATTGGCAATGATGGACGAGAAATGTCAAATAATAGACCGAAGTGGATTCATATACAATGGGGATACTAATCTTGAGTGGCCATTGTCGTTTAACATCCTTGCAAAATGCTCAACGACAAAAGCAAGAACTTCCATTTTGAAACTTCCACATTACGAAGTCGAAACACCGATTTTCATGCCAGTCGGCACCCAAGGGACTATGAAAGGATTAACAACAGACCAGTTAGAGAATCTCAACTGTCAGATCATTCTAGCAAATACGTATCATCTTGGAATGAGGCCGGTATGTTTGGTATTTCACTTTGCCTCATTGGTGTTGAACTGTTTTTGCTGGGTGGTGTCTTTTGATAGAACTACTTCAATCTTCAATCTTCAATAGTTAACTCCTAAAGGCTTTACAACCAATCTGGAGTAAAATAAATAAAAAAAAAAAAAAAAAAAATTTTTAAATTTTGGAAAAGGAAAATTAACTTAGGAGTAGGATTAATACCATTTCCACCCAGCGCTCCAGCTTGTTAATTTCTACAAAATGTTGCAATACTCAGCGACAAGTGAGAAGACGAGTAGATGGATCTAAAAAACGAGTAGATTCAATTATGCAAGTATACACTTTGGTAATAATTGTGCACTTCAAGTATGCAAAAATATATTAAACCTTTTGTATAAACAATTTCATGAAAAACTGATACGGGTGTTTGTCACTTATGATTAAGACGTTCAAATTAAACCACACATTAAAATGAAGGCTGACAAGATTGTTATTAACACAATGGCAAAACCAAGAATATTTACTTTTGCAGAGGAAAGGAATCTTGAAATTTTGCATAAAAATCTTCTAGGTTATAGCATATTAGTCCACCCAACTAGTAGACTGGTTTCTGTTTGGGTATAATAATTTTTATATTCTACTCTGTTTAGTTTGGTACATATATAGCCTCTTTTAGGCACAATGGGTCATTCCATATCAAGGGGGGGGGGTTGAAAATGTAACCCACCCTCTCAGAACTGTTCAATTTATTTTCTTGTAGGGCTGCTCATACTAATAAGATAGAAGCACCCAGCTCTATACCTTTATTTTTTCGATAGCCACTTGAATTGGCTCAAATGTCTCTAATATGCCATTTTGAATTTTCCCGTCAATTTTTTTGGCAAAATTTAATGTGTATGCATTTTGCCCTGAGAATGTCTCTTCTGGGTAATAAGTACTCTGGAGGTTGAAAATGACATCAGAAACCTGCCAGCATCCACAGAAAACTAATGATCTAAAAGAACAGCCATGAATAAATCAGCCAATAATTAGATAAAAAAGACTCAATCCAACTAGATTGAGAAACTACTTGCTGTAAGATATGACTTACTTCCAATCTAAAGGCCCAATATCCCAACATATTTTGCTGGCCATTTAAATTTCCCATTTGCTGGGCTACACAATAAATCTATTGTTGAGCCAGTCCACAATATAAGGCTAATTCCCAATGTTTTCTTTATCATTAATGGGCTGCAAAGCTGATTTTTAACTCTGTACAGTGCTTGAGAAAGAGAACTTTGTCAATTTGTTGTTCTGGTATAGCTGATAGCATAAGCATGGAACAGTGGCAAAAATTATGAGCAGTTGCAAGTTAAAGGCTGAGAAGTGAATTAATTTATGAATCCATTGATTTCTGGCTGCTTGTTTTTCTTTTCTTTGCTAGTCAATTTGTTTTTCAGGTCTTGCCTGGAAAGGCACATAATTGAGTGCATGTGTCTAAAGCCCACCTCGAAATTGCCATTGAGAGTGATTTTTCGAGCCTCTATAAATGCAAAATGATATTGCCAAAATTAAAAAAATAATACCCGTATGCCAATGTCAAAAGAAGCTGATTTTTCCTTAAAGGAGAAATGTTTGTTTGTCATTTTTCGCAACATTTTGCATGAGTGCCGTCCAATGTTCTGCTTACACATAGTTACATGTAGATCACTTAACATTTTAGATAGTAATAAACAAAGTGGTTACTTTCTGTTTTGATGTAATGGCCTCCTTTCTGTGGCACACAAAGCTATTGGTCTTTATTAAACCAATAGTGATACTGAAAAGTTTTTTTCAATGGCAGGAACTTATGAAATAAATCAAGATATTTAGAAAACCTGTCATTTTTTGTATTAAATAATCTGGTGTGTTTTTTGTTTCCTCATTGCATTGCTTATTTAACAGTCCTGTCCAAGGATTTTCTCAAGATTTCATTTAGAGGTTGGTAAATAGAGTGCCTTCATTTTGTTTAGAGCAAGGCCTGTTCTTTTGTGTCATAAAGTCATACTTTTTACCTTGTTCTTTATAAATTTGTTTTGCTTTCATTTTTTGTTTTCTACATGAATTATTTTTGTATTATCATGTTTCAACCACATTTGTCAGGGACCAGAGACATTACAAAAAGCTGGTGGTCTGCAGAAATTCATGAACTGGAAACGAGCACTCCTAACAGTAAGTACTCATACAACAGAGAAAAATCAATCAGAACGTGTCAAATCTGTTTGTCTCTAACTTTGTTAATTTAGCAACTGGTAACCTGATGATAAATTTTTGTTTGAGCCCCAGGCTAGAAACTTAGAGCCATCCTTTGGTATGCTGCAAATCTTCAAATTAGCCCCCTGGGGACTTATTTATTTTTTATTTCTTTGGATAGGGGGTTATTCAGGGGCTTATAGGGGGGTGAGCTTATAAAATTATAGTAGGCATCAAGAAGACATTATTAAAAGACCTCACATATTTCAGTAGGAATTTCTTTGTAAACATTTAATTGATTATTATCATAAGTATGAATTTTTGTTGTAATTCAATAAAACACCAAAGGCAACCTCAGATGGCAACAATCAACAAATTGGGGGGGGGGCAATTCAAGGATTTTTGGTAGCAGTGGGGGCTTATTTGAGCAGTGTCTTATTGACAATTTTATAGTTCTAGGGTGGGGGCATATTTGAGGGGGAAGCCAATTGGAGGATTTACATTACAGCTCAGTCTCTACTGCGTCAAGCACTCTGCAACAGAAAGTCATATTTTTCATTACCTTCAAACCTATGGTGCCCATGGTAGAAAAACAATTGAGATTTTATAGCTGAAATCGATTTGGATTGCTAGTATTAAAAATGATACCCTCAATATTAGATTTGTTCATAACAATAGGGATAGATTTTAATAGTTTCTCTACAGTAGTGATTAGGTCTTTTCAATTTTCACAGGACAGTGGTGGGTTCCAAATGGTTTCACTGGTAAAGCTATCAGAAGTCACTGAGGTAATCAAGCACAGTTTGTGTTAAACATTTTTTCTTGCCTAGCTGTTTTTTCCAATGAAAATATAAGAGGCTGTTATTAACTATGTTACTGATCTTATTGATTCAAAAAGTGTTTTTCTAACTTATAAGCAAATTTGAGGATTCCTAGACCTAGTCTACGTAAAAGACTATGCATATCTGGACAACTTTCACTTGCAAAGCCTACACAAATACTTTTCATAATTCTTTTTAGTTAAGTCTCCCAAAATTTTTGAACATAAGGTCTAACTTACCTTTATAAACCAGGATTTCCCATTCATTTAAACTGAAATAGTCAAATATATAATCCAACTCTATTTAATCAAATCCAAAGGGTTAGAATTGCTGATACAACTCTTTACTTATCATTCCTTTAAGAAAGGAGGGTGTGAAATTTTGCTCCCCATATGACAATGAAGAGATACTACTCACCCCAGAGAAGTCAATTGAAATACAAAATTCTATTGGAGCTGATATAATGATGCAGTTAGATGATGTTGTTCATGTCTCAACCAGAGGTCCTCGTGTTGAGGAGGCAATGTACAGGTCCATTAGATGGCTGGATAGATGTCTGAAGGCAAATAAAAATATGGACTCTCAAAATATATTTCCAGTTTTGCAAGGAGGACTTGACTTAGATTTACGAAAAAAGTGCATTGAAGGTGAGTCAAATTTGCATGTTTCTGTCTGATTTGCTGAAAAAATGTAAGAATTATCTAACATTTGTAACTTTAGACTTTTGAAAAAGGAATTTTCATCAAATCTTGCAGAGGATTCAACTACATTTTTTGTTATTTTGTTTTGAAATAACCTTCTATGCTAAATTCAATTACAAACTTCTGACCTCATGTCAACATTACTTGGGTTGTTGCTAATACATTGACATGTCACACAGGGACTTCTTCAGCCTGGCACAAGTTTCAGTTTGCCTTTCCAAGATCTCATTTTATCAGTAATATGGAGCAGGCTTCAAACTCTATGTGGGGTAGTTGAAAAACTCTAGGGAATAAGATTACAACTGGGTATCGGGTTAATTGAACATCTCTAGAACTGAGATGGAGGTATTCATTCAATATGTAAGCACAAAGCACTCTTGCTACCAGGAAATTTTCAGGTGATGCATTTTCAAATTTTAAACATCATAAAGAAATACAAGATCTAGTTCATCATCAATCAAATCAGACAACTTTTAGATCAAACAGCATTAGATTTCTCAGCCCAAAGATCTAGAATAGCTTTCCAAAATTTTACAATAATTATTGTGTAGTCTTCAAAAGCAATGCATTTGGCTAAATAACTTGTTATTAAAAATCTTATTTTTATCAGTATTAGTCTGTCAGATGAGTTATCATTTAGTCAGCTACAAGAAAAATCATGTCTTTTAGATTTGACTGTAATTTAATTTTAAAACATTCTTCTTTACCATTGTTGCTTTGGCACAGGAATGCTGATGCGAAACACTCCAGGGTATGCTATAGGAGGCTTGAGTGGTGGAGAGGAGAAACATGAGTTTTGTAAGGTTGTTAGCTTTTGCACTGATCATTTGCCTGCTTCTAAGCCAAGATATGTCATGGGTGTTGGGTAAGTTTTTGGAGGTCTGTTCTTTCTTCTTGACAAAAACCTTTTTACTGATGGTTGCTTATACGATAATTTATCTAAAGAATGTTTTGGTTGTATGTAAATCAATTCTAGTAGAAGTAACTGATATCATCAGAACTGCAGCCATTTAAAATGTAGAAAATTATGGTGACATTTTGCCATATTCCACACTGCTGCCTACCAAGATGAAACTAAATGCATAAATACAGGCTCGCTTAAAGCCAAAGAAACTCAGATTCAGCAAAAACTTTGAATAGATGCTACAACTCTATTACATTCATATCAAATAGGAAACTGTCAAAAGAAGCCCAATAGGCATCTTGAGAAGCAAATAAAACAAAACTGCGCGAATAGCATTTAGCTGTTTCTGATGTTTTATTTTATATTTTTCTTATGTAAATAATGCAGAAAGTTTGATTAGATTTTCATTTTCATTACACAAAAAACATTATAAATATATTTTATTGTAATAAATGATTATATGGTTGTTATTGCAACTTGCTGTTATGTTTTAGCTACGCAATAGATTTGGTTGTTAGTTGTGCTCTGGGTGCTGACATGTTTGACTGCGTCTTTCCAACAAGAACAGCGGTAATTTCATTCTATATCTGCTTGGGTTTTTACCTCATTTAATCTTTGTAGTAGTCAGGTGCGCTGGAGAACATTTTTTTGGGTGGTGGTGGGGGGAGGGGGTAGTTAATGGCTCTAGACAAATTGGCAATTTTTATGGTAGTTTTTCTGCTATTATCTTTGACGCAACAGCTTTAATATCATACTTCAGCGAAGAGGCTATTACCTCCGTGTGATGTCATGTGTCAAGATGGCATGAAAATACAGAACATATCGAAACATTGTTAGGTACATTAAATCTAAAGTACCTCAGTATGACGCGATACTTTCTTGCTTTCCGTTTCTTTTGAACTTTGTTGTATGAAATGCCGCCAGTTGCAAATGTGAATGTGGACTGGCCATAACAAAAGTTACAGTTACCTTTGTAAGAGCTTTTTACATGAAAATTAATATTGTTTTTACGTTTTTCTTCGGGTATAACTTTTAGTAAGGTGAGTGACTTGAAAACCTGAAATTTAATATTTCAGAGATTTGGAACGGCACTCGTCCCTTGGGGGCAACTCCAACTGAAAAGTGGACAATATGCTACAGATTTTGATCCCATCGATAAAGAGTGTCATTGTTCCACATGTCAGAATTATACCAGAGCCTACTTACACAGTCTGGTTGCAGCTAAAGAAACAGTTGGTTGTCACTTTATAACTATTCATAACATTGCTTATCAGGTACCTTTAAAGCACTTTCTTCCTAACTAATTATTCTTGTCTGAGTTAGTACTTAGTGATGTTAGAGATAGCCAATACTCGCCATGTTAGATATTGGCTTAGCCATATTAGATACTATCAATACATGATAATATTAGAGAATGCCTATGCTTTGCTATATTGGAGACGATCAACACTTGGCCATATTAGGGAATTTCAATGCTATATCGCAGAATATCAAAACATGATCATTTTAGTGAAAGAAATGCTATTTTTGAGATTATCAATACATTGTCATTTTAGAAACTGGTATTGCTTAGCTATATTAGAGATTTCCAATACATGGCCATATCAGAGATTTCAATAGATGGCTATATAATAGAAGTTCAATACATAACATTATTAGAGATCGATCAATGCTAAGCCACATGAGACGATGACGCTTGGCCTGTTTAATACCTGCAACATTAAATTAGTTGTTTCTACCGTCTTTTATTATGAAGAATTTAAAATCCAGAAAATGTGCCGTTGCACGGCTAAGTAGCATAAGAGCAAATGGATTTTAGAAACCAAACCAAGGCCACACATTTATTTCATTTTCTGTTATTTTCGAAAAGGTCTTTACACAGGTTCACTTTTCTGGATATTGATTTTCGTTTCGACCATAATCAGATTGTACTTAGTTAATTGTGGTCACGGTACCATGTACCTTCGTTGTTGGTATTGTCTTCTCGTACCGTTTTTTCTTTCCTATCAGTTAAGTGCTAAGTTTGATAGCTTCTTATTTCAGCTTTGTAATGTGAATACCGTTGTAAAAATGGGTTTCTGTCACTCTCTCTTGCAACAGTTACCTCGCATCACAGACACCTTTATAAAGAGAGACCTTTTGCATCTATTTTTAATAGTTACATAATTGCACACGCCCTATGATACGTCGTGCGTTTAATTTAAAAACAAAATTATCGACGTGGAAGGCTAATGAAGAGTTTCAGAATGCAATTTTTGGCTGTTCTGTATATATAAATACATTTTAAAGAAGCAACTGCTTTACATGTTTTTTCGCTCCCTGAGTAAACCTTTATTTTAATCTGAAAAGGATCAAGGCTCTCTTTTTATATGGATGAATTCAATCATAAAAGGGCGAAATTTATTGAGAAATAAGGAACCGAGAACTCCTCTTACCTTGAATTTGATTTAGATTCTTGCAACAGCACTGATATTATATTGTCACCAGTGAGACTTCCAAGAGAGTTATTTTTCCTTTTCTTTTTCTTTGTATTTCTTTTCATTTGCTTTTTTCGCTCTTTTTTCTTTTCCTCGCCTTTATTGTTGTATCTGAAAATTCTAAATTGAGTATTGATTTTAGTCCTGTTTATTGTAGATGGCGCTGATGAGGGCGATAAGGGAGAGCATAAAACAAGATAAATTTCCTGACTTTATACAGAGATTTTTCAGGACAATGTATCCCCTTGGCAACTACCCGCAGTGGTGTACTGATGCTTTAGAGACTGTAGGCGTATTTTTAAAGAGTTAATTTAGATCGCTGCTTGAATAAAATTTGTCTTTCCTATAAATGGCTTATCTTTCTTGCCCCCTGAGAGCATGAAAGGCCCCTAATTTATAGGAGATGCGGTATTTTCTACTAGCTACTAGACCCAAAAGATTTCTAACTTTGTACTTGATCGAATAAATTATTTTCAGTGGCAATACGCTGCATTTTTGCCTTAAGAAATATATTTTCAATATGTTTGTCCTATACACATGCTTAGGAACCTCCAGTTAACGAATTTGTTATTAGGGAGGTCTAAATCTAGTACGGGTAAGAGTGCGATAACGAGTTTCCGACTGCGCAACCTATTTGCGCACGCTTGCCAGGAACCATCGTACTAACTCTCACTATACTGACAACAGTCGTTCAGGACGACATTATTTGCAAATTGCTGCAAATAGTGAAAAGTTTAGTCATTTTGCCACCCTGTTTAGTTTTGTTTAGTCGTGTTGAGTGTTGTTGAGTTTTGATCCTGGTCGAAAATTTTTAGCGTTGTTTAGTGTTGTTTAGCAAATGTTTAGTCGTTTTGCCACCCTGTTTAGTGTTGTTTAGTCGAGTTGAGTGTTGTTGAGTTTTGATCCTGGTCGAAAATTTTTAGCGTTGTTTAGTGTTGTTTAGCAAATGTTTAGTCGTTTTGCCACCAATTAAACATTTGTTGTGATCGCACAGGCGCTCTATCTGTGGAAACCCGAAGGTTTTCGTCTGTTATCGTTCGTTTTCCTGTCTCTACGTGACCCAAAAAGCCTTTATGAGACATCTGCATATCTCGTTGTACGCCAGTGTCTTCTTCAACAGTCAACTTTGTTGTCAATGTGCTAAAAAGTCTTTTCTTTCCCCGTCGCTTCATCCAATTCGTATTTTTATTCACTGCTTGTGCATGCAACAAAATAAACCAAAAGCAAATTCCTATGCAAGATCCCCAGCAACCCAACAGCGTCATAGACAGCCTACAGTTAAAAAAAGTTGAGTGACATTCAGTGAAAAGTTTAGTCACGTTTTGCCACCCTCGCTAAACTTCGCTCAACTTCACTAAACAAAAGTTGAGTGAAATGTTTAGTGAAATGTTCAGTGAAATGTTCAGTCGTTTTGCCAGGGTTTAACACGGCACGATATTTGTCTCATCCGAGAAATGCCCCTCATCTGCATACAAACGCCTGAGACTATGTAAGTAATATTGACGACCCAAGATTTGAAGTAACGACTAGTAGACTGGTGCCATTTCTCTAAAATAGTTTTTAAAAAGAGATCAAGAGGCATTTTGGGGTAGAAGCTGAGATCTAGTTTATTTGGGGTATTTTGACCATGCTGATTCAAATTTGACTGATCCCAAGCCAAATTCGCTAACTTAAAGGCTTAATTTGCATATTCAAAATGGCTGCCCATCAGAAAACTTCAAGGTATAAGCAAGGGACCCTCCGAACCGAATAAAGTTCTGAAAAGTTGTATAATATAGCAACTAAAGACCTAACAAGTAAAAAAGTTCAAGAATCTTTGCTGCATGCAGCCGATCTTGGTCAGCAACAAATTTTAAGATTTTTCACGCACAGACTGACACCGTCTGACACAGAGCCCATAGTACCCACGAACCATTAAAAAGATGCCAGAAAACAAAGCAGATCTTGCACGATTCATGTCAGAAGAGTTGTTCGCCAAGCAACTGAAGATAAAGAAATTGTTACAGCGGGTGGATTCATCAATGAATTGCTTGCCCAGTCATCTAAATACTACACTGATATCTTGTTATTGAGTGCAGACCATGAAGAAGCAGATACCAGACTTGCCCTTCATGCTATCAATGCCACCTGCAATACAGTAGTAGTTGCTGCTAGAGATTCAGATGTACTTATCATTCTTCATACGTGTCCTACTGTGAAAAAACGCGATGCAATGATCTTTGGATGATGTCTGGAACGTCAAAGAAGAGAAAATATATTCCAAACAAAAAGATTCTTCACGCCTTGCCAGAAGGATATGTTCAAGCACTCATCCCCTTTCATACTTTTAATGGATGCGATACAACTTCGTACTTTTCTGGGAATAAAAGGCATCTAGACGGGAAGTTTCTAAAGAGTCGCATGAACTCTTGCAAAACATAGGAAAAGGAGGTATAAACAAACAAGTTATGCGGAAAGTAGAATAATTTCTTTGGCACGTTTACGGTGCAGGTCACATCAACACCACAAATGAAGCCCGACACGTTTTATTTTTCAAGAAAATAAAACACGAAGCATTGCCTCCAACAAGTGATGCGGCACACCTTCACATAAGAAGAGCACACTTCCAAGCAATGATATGGAAACAAGCTGGATCACCGCATCAAGACTTACCGTCACCTACAGATTTCGGATGGGAGCTTTCTGAAGATCGATTAAAGCCGATTCTAATGACAGCGAAGCCATCCTTACTGCTTCTCTGGAGATGATCTTTTGTGGATGTAACACACGATGCAGAAACTCATATAGCTTAGTTTGCTTTAAGATTTAGATCAGACACTCCTTCAAATCTTAATGTAGGGTCAAGCTTCACAATGCAGGCCTTGCACATATCAACCTGAGAAGAATCTTCAAGAATTCTTGACAAGTATGGAAGAATTTAAAAATTAGCAATGAAGTTTTAAGCGAATTTACAATTGTTCTTTTCTCAAGAACTCTCAAGAATTATTAGTTAGAAGATAGTGTTTATTTGCGTAAGGCCTGTAATGTAGCAAGTTGTATGGCATATGCAGCAAAGCTGAAAACAATGAAATCAACTGACCTATAATCGATTAGATTCCACCTTGGACCTTCACGTTAGAGACCTTCACAAAAATGCAGCATAGTAGAACTGGATATACAAAAGGAACGTGTTCAGCCACTTAAATATTCAATGTTGACATTTCACCCGGTTACTTCTTGGGAGAAAATTTCATTTGAGAAAATGCCATAGATAAACTTGTCGTTAGTACGAAAATTGAAAACCTGAAAGATTGCCATTTCTCCTAAAATGAAATGGACTCAACGAAACTGGAAAAGATTTCTTTAAAATGTTAGACCCTAACCAGCTAGAAAACTAAATAAATGACTTTAATTTTTGCCGAAGGATCATAGATCATCGAGAATGCCACCATTCGACTAATTTCGATGAGAACTTTCAAATGTTGCATGACCTATTTGGTTTTTGATGGCGTGAACAATTTTTAAGTTAATGACGTCATCAAATTTATGACGTCATGCAAATCACAGAAAATGTAATAGATCAAATTTACGAGCCGAAATTGGTTTTCTTTATCTTTAAAAGAAAATTGAAGTCATTTTAGTGTATTTGCATCAGTAATTAGGGGTTTAAATGAAACAATGACAAATTAGTGTAAATAAATCATGAATAAGCAATATAGATAATAAGCTTAGATGGAAAGCATATCTCTGATTTTTACTTTTTGATCGTTTTGATACATTCTAGAGACATTATAAAAGGACTTAATAATTAAAACTGAGATATTACCAATAGTTAGCAGATTCTGCCATTTTCTTCAATTATGACATCATAATGACGTCATAAATGTAATGAGTTCCCTGTTAAAATTTAAAAAGTTCCCTGTTCTGTAGATTGTGTTGCTGTACATCATTTTACCACGTTCTGTCCTCATAACAGCAATATTAGTGAATATCCTAGTCGAATGCAGTGTTATGGGTTTTTTTGGCAGCATGTTGAAGATTTCGACTGGCAACCATTTTGATATGCAAATTGAGCCTTCAAATGAGCGAGTTTCGCTTGGGATCCACTAAATTCGTAATCAGCATGGTCGAAATACCCAAAATCAACTGGATCCCAGCTTCTACTAAAAAATGCCCCTTGTTTTATAATTTCTTGGAATTAGAACCAGTCTATAGGGCATTGAATGATAGATTCTCCAAGCTGTTGAGAAACTTTAAGAACAGCTGCGGACACCTGGGGGCAAAAGAGGAGGCTGGTTACCCTACCCTTAAGAAAGCCGACCGGAAAGAAGCATGGACCGCAGGTATCAAATGTCATCCTTGTTTAAATAAATTCCACCAGCGACTCGTCTTCATTCGCCCCTTCCGAATTCTACATGACCCTCTAGATCCAGGCACGCCAGAGCATGATTCCACCACTGGACCCCCAAAGAACTTCCTGTTTTTCCTATACACCCTTAAAGAAACGTCAAATCCGATATACTCAACTTTGAAATAAAATATTTTCTTATTGTTTGCTGTTGGATAATGCCCAACGACAATCGTCCCAACATTTTAGTATTTGGACTTCATCTCTTACCGAATCTCAATGTTGGCCCTTGGACTAAACACAAACTTCAGGTAACAACGCAATCTCGCTATCCTGAAACATATTTATATTTAACACTCAGGGCCCATGCCACAAATTTGAAATTAGGGGACCAAGGCTAGCTAAAGCATGGGGTCAAGGCTTCTTCCCCTTTTTGCTGCAGCTTTAAAACTACTTGCTTTGCAAAACATGGAGGAGCTATGATCAATATTGCACGATAATGATATTTTTCTGAGCGATAAAGTTTGATCATTTTTGCACCGTTCTTCTGCCCTTTATTTTCATGACAGTTTTCTGGTGTACCTTATTTCAAATGAGATGTTTTGAAAATCTTAATTGTGTTCAATACAGACATGGCTGCTAGATAAAGTAGTGTTTGCACATCCAGCGCTTTTCTTTTATGATATTCTTTTTAATCGTGTTTTTTCTTTAATGATATTTTCAAATTTCTTCAGCAGACTTTCTGTTGCCTAGTGACCGTCCTGTTTTTTTTCAATGTATAGAGCTGAGATTAATTATTCTGATATGCTATAGGCTGGTTTTCTACATCTGTTAGAAACCATAGTTTGAAATAGATTTACCTAAAGTGCAGTTAATAGATATGCACTAAAAAGATATAAGGGTTATTTTATGTCTCACACGACTGTAAATCCGGTTGATGATATTTTTTTGCATTACGCTCCGATTTGCAGTCAGTTTCTTAGTTTATGTTGATTCAAGTAGAAAACGTTTTAAGATACCAATTGCTAAAGAGCTTCTTTAAAACACCACAAAATATCACAAGAAAACATGGAATAGAACACTCGGTAAGTTACAAGGAGCTCTTCTCTCTATTAATTTAGGCCCGTAAAACCCAGCGTTAAACGGGAAATAGATGCCTAATCATCAAAAAGAATCAATTCCACCCATCTTTAAACAAGGATTTCATGTAGTTTATAAAGGTTCAAGGTGATCAGTATTATAGTTTCTTTATTTGTTGCTAATCTTGGTATCTTATTGGCAGTTCTTATAATAAAATAAGTGTATATCTCAAAGAAAGTTCAGTAAGTAAATGAATTACCGAACAATCTTGCTTCCTCTCGGACCAACATTTTGATGTCTTGAAGTAATTTATCTTCTCTTTAGTATGAGCCAGGTGTATATGTATGAGCCAATTTATCTTCTGCTTGCCACGAAATCTTACTGCCTCTAGAATAAACCAAATTTACTGTTAGAGTTGACAGAGGAGATTTTGTTTGTATTTATTATACAAAAGATGCCAATGCCAAGCCTGTCTATTTCGGCAATCATAAGTAGACGGAGTACGGGCCCTACGCCATGAATTTTAAAGTGGGGGCCAAGGCTAGCGAAAATAGGGGTCAATACTTACCCCCTTTTACTGCAGCCTAAAAACTACTTGCTTCGCATAAAGTGGGGGGGGCATGGCCCCAGTGTGGCGGAGAAGGGATGTACTGAAAAGATGTTGCGGCAATTAAAAAAACTCAGATGCAGGTTTTATCATCTTTCTTGATGACCGATCTATGACTAAACCATCTTTACTATAAATGTAGAGAAAGCACTTTATGAAATTGCTCAATTTGGAGCTTTCTATAGCCCTGGTGTTCTTGCTCCTTGGGACAGTAATGCTGTTGTGTGCTTGAGGACAAACTGTCAGAATCTTGAGAAGTTTTGTTATTAATTGTTGAAAAGATTCGTCGGAATGAATATAAATGAGGGAAAGCCAAGAGAAGTGCAAAATACTCCATATTTTCCAATATTTCTATCAAAATTAATTGGCCAAAATAAATAGCAAGCGAAACAGCCAAAACCATGTTATTGTAAACTAGAACAATCAGGGGCCTGGGATAAAAAATGTCTATTTGTAGGCCAACATTCTGCAATTTTGTTGTATTCTTAACACAAGTGCATAGGAGGTGCTTTTTGTACATTTACCTCGCTATGATTGAGTTTCATACTTTGTGGGGAAGACTTTATGAAATTGGTGTGCTCTTAGGAATGTGTGTTCTAATTATCTTGTTTAGCAGGAATTCACTCATCAAAAATTTACTTTCAATGCTGAATATGTTATTACCTGTTAATAATTAATACAAATTATACAAATATTTCCTCCGAAATTAAAAGGTTCAGATTGTTTGCCGTACTTTCGTCCGCATTTCATTTCAATTCTTGGATCGACATGACATTTTCATAGCTCAATAGAAAGTCTCTAATACCTCTGCTGCACGTGACTTTCGAATCAATATTTTTTCTCTTCTAACTGGTTGGATTGTTCACCATTTCTGTATACCGAAATGTTAAGAAATCAGTTGCTTTACTCAGTCCTTGTACAATTTGACGGGGGTTTTAGTCTCAAATCATCCCATTCTTAGTGGCAACCATAGAGTCGGTAGGGTGGCAACCCTGTTCATCAAAGCATCAAAGGATAGATTGAGTAATATGCGTCGGCCGCTTTTCCTAGACAATAACATGTGCAAATAAATTCTTTGCCAAAACCTGCGACCAATAATTATTAGGCTAACAACGTCAACGATAGTTAAAAGGATGTCCTAACTTTGCAGAGTGGTGGTGTTTGAGAAGGATGGTATTTCAAATCACTAAACGGGCATTGTTTTTGCGATTGCATCTTCAGAATTCATTCGACGTTTTCTCGCAGTATTATGTTCCTGCAGCGGTTGTGTACCAACAACGTGAAACTGTGAGGTTTTGGATGCCAAAGTAAGTTTCTACTGAAATGAGGATTTGTCTAGAGGTAACCATATATGCTTTTGACCACTGATTATCAAAGTTGTTGTCAGATCTTGTTTTGAACAGCTTCAAGCAAAAAGGTATTTACTTATAGGCATCTCCACAGGTTATTCGCAGACAGGTCATGGGAGACATGGAGCTGGGTATGATGCAGCTCCGCTAATCAGGCAAAATTTATCGCATTTCAGACTCCATTCGGGCAGTTTCAAATCAATGAAGCATCAATATTCGGCAAGATTTTCATACTAAGCTACGACGATGTTCGTAGATAGCTTTAGGCAGAATAATTCCTTTCCACCATCTACCAAATAATCCAATGCTAAAGAGCAAGCGATTTAGAAACTGGATGTACGAGATTGTAACATTGCTTGATATTTTTATCGCTAGATTAGAGAGTCAATTTCAAGAGCAAAAGACAGGACTGTTTTTGATTTCATGAAACGAAAGAAATTGAAGCATAGATTAAAGCCGTCAAATGATATATGCTTTGGTAGTCCACCACCCCTCCCCCTACTTCAACTATGTTTGGTTGTCTCTGTCAAGGGGCGCACATTAGGGGTGTGTGGGTGAGACCCCCCTCCCCAAATTTTTCTAGAGTCAGTCAAAAAAAATTATTTATTGGGGAAAAGTCGGTATACGATTTTGATAATCTAAATCTATCTTGGTCCGGTTGATTATATTTTTGGCAAAGGTCGATTCTCCCCACAAATCGGTAATGGAATTAATAAATCTTCTGCTACAAAAGAACAAGATAGAAAAGAACTGTTTCAGCCGATTTTTGTTCGTCTCTAAAGCCCCATTTTTAAATTTTATTTGTCTTTTTTGCATACTCGCAGGGCCTACGCTACGAGTTTGAAAGTGAGGGGCCAAGGCTAGCAAAAGTAGGGGACCAAGGCTTTTTCCCCTTTTACTGCAGCTTTACAACTACTTGCTTTGCAAAAAAGTGGGGGGGGGCATGGCCACATTATCTGGAAACTAACAGTAGTGCCTCTAAAAGTGGTGATAAAGTGTTAACGGAAAATTTGTCAAAACGTTACAAAAAGAGATAAATCAGCTGTTGAAGGAGAAGAAACTACTGGAAAGAAAATCTTTTAGGATATGAGAAATAACTAATCGGCAGATTTGTTTTTTAAAAGTATTATAAAGAAAGTTTCAAAGTTTGATTGTATCAATAATCCATTCCTGCTAAGAAAGAGAGAATTGAAATGTAGTTATAAATTCTATCAAAATTCGTTTTGACCAGCAAAGTTTGAAAGTTTTTCAAATCCAGAGTCTTTTTTGCTAAAAGCTCTTTATTCCAAAAAAAATTTAAGATAAGATTTTACAGAATAATATTCCAAATGTGCAAAATTGCTAACCTTTCATTTTCAGTTTACAGTTTTTCGAATTAAAAATGTTTCTTCTATTTTTCTCCTCCATTTTATTTTTTATCTACGATGGCCCCTAACTTTTATGCAGAGAAAAGTAAAGTTTTCGAGGAAAAGATAGAGAGAAATACAGTTTATCATTCCGTTAGTTATGGTGCTGAACATTGCTAAGAAATATACCCTTAGCCAAAGTTTCATTACCATTTAGATATTTAGAGTACACAGAGAAAGTATGTAGATCATAAAGTTTTTTTTCGAAGAAACCGAAGCAAGCTGTGCGTTACACAATGTACTGTGCGAGTAACTAACAGCTTTTCAAAAGTGACCGCTAACTAACAACCATTATACGGTCTTGGAAATGCATGCCTGGTTTAGGGGCCTTTAGGGTATGGCTGGAGAAACCGGACAAGATTCAGAAAAACTTGGTGACGGAGTTTCGTGTTTTCTATGGCCTAAACTTGGCCCAAGTGGCCTATTTGTTATCGGACAAGCTCTCAAATATGTTACAGAGGGGACATCAGCTGTTGAAAGAGAGGAAATTGTTAGGGAATATATTTCTAAGAACATGATAAACTAAAAATGGACAAATCGTCAGATTTGTTCTTCGAAAGTATTTTCAAGAAGCTTCGAAGTGTGATTTCATCGGTGATTTTGTCCAGCCAAGAAAGAGTCGAAGCGCTGATTATAAAGCTGAAAACGAGTATCTTGGTAAAGGGAGATTTAGATAAAGGCAAAACATCTTGTCCACCCTTTCCACTCACTAAAAGAACACTATAATCTACTTTGAAATTAATTTTAAAAATCGTCTTGACCAGCCCAGTTTGAAAGTTTCAAGTCTTGCGTCGTTTTCATTAAAATTTATTGTTTCACAAAAGTTCTTACAATCACATTTTACAAAATAACACCTCGATTTTATAAAATTGCTTAATCCTTTTTATTTTGATGTATTTCTATTTTAATATTCTTATTTTTCTTGATATTCATGTTTTTTTAACTGTGCATCATTTAATACTCCTGACTCTCTCACTTGATTTCCAACTTGATGTAAAGCCATTTTAGTTATACTCGTTGCGCTAAAATGGTTATTCTAAAACTTTGCAAGGCTTTTCCTATTTTATCAACATTAAAATAGATAAACTATGAAATATAGTGATAAAATCTTAATAATTTTGCCTTGGATTTCCTCCAAAAAAAAATTTATTTTTGATGTTCTTGATAATCTACGGTTCGTGAATTACCGTTTGTCAGGAAACAAGAAAAGTTAAAGCACAACGGTATAATCCTCCAACTTTATAAACTTTTCTCTCGGCAAGTTATGCTGTGGTCTTTCTCAAAACTGCATGGCCGTGGAACCGTTATGTTTTCTGGACTCTGGATGAGGATGCAGCTTCATAGACAGGGAATTTACTGTAACAATCTAGCAAACTGGGTAACCGAAATTTTTGAAGTGGGTATGATTCTATGATGGTTGGTCGTCAATTTAAGCCTTGGGCACATTTTCGAAAATTTGTTGTTGTCACGTGATCGATGGCATAATTATTCCCCGGTCAGTAAAATATTAATGACAACATTTCTTAAATCTGAGTATACCATTCGAAAGATCATGCAAAACTGAGTCAAAAATTATAAAACACTTATATTGTTTGACTTATTGTTTCGAAATTATAGATGTTTGAACTTTCTATGACGTCATCAAAATGGCCGCCACTGGATTTTGTAAAGAGCATTTTTTCATCGTGTGCGCTCTACTAAAACAATTCTTAGCAACCAAATTGTTTTGTAAACATACAAGTTAGGTTTCAGTTATGCCGAGATAAGCTGCCCTCTAAGTTACAATCCTCTAACATTATAGTTAACTAAACATTATGTTTTCTGGAGTCTGGAAGAGGATGCAACTTCAAGATCTCAACACTATCTGTTCAGCACGACAGTTGGGATATGTAGATGATAAACCTTTGGTTCTTAACGGAAACTTTTACCCAAAACATATTGGACTGACTTTGCATATCTAGAGGCTCATGTGGTAGATATTCTTAAAATAGATTCCAATGACGTCATTACTGTACCACTCCGTTGGAAAATAGGCCTTCTTGAAATCATTGTGTTAATGGGTTTGTAAAACTGCTTTCCGTCTAGGAAATGCTTTAAAAAATGATGAATGTCAACAATGTTTTAAAGTGTTTACTTTAACAATGAAATAGGTCTGTTATTGGTTTTGGTTTGCCTGCATTATACACATAATGGGTTCTCAAACTGAGCAGCTTTGCAAACTCAGGTTTCGCAGCATGAAGTGTAATCTACCATCGACCGTGCAAATAGACAAGTCGAAGAGAAAACATCGTGGATCGATTTTGCTCACTAGTAGCTAGATTTTTGCAGATTTTAGCGTTTGAATCAATATGTGCAAGTGTTGATTCTTCATTAAGCCTGGAAAAAATTGCTATTGCAGATGGAAGCTTCTCGCAAGTTCTGTTTGAACCCAGATATAATGAACTGTAAAGAATTAAAATTGTTCTAAGTGTTTGTTAGATATGTAGTATAATGTAGATAAGGCTAAATGACGAATGTTTAGTTGTTGCCAATGTTCATGACTGTGGAGGCGCAACACATCAACAACATTCTTTGCGATATATACAAGGTACTTTTAATGAAAAGTAAAACTAGCAAATGGAGAATCTATATGCTATATATGCAAGTAAGAATTTTAAAACGAAAAATCATAGCAAGGGCGCTGGAAGGAGGCACGGGGACGTTGGACGTGTTGACGCGAAGGAGGCCCATGGGCTCCTTCACAAGAGTTTCATTTTTGTTGGACAACAAAAACATTTGTATGAAATTCTGACTGCAGTTTTTTTCAAAAAATCTCTCAATTGTTTTGATGAAGTCGTTTCACAAAACGCGTTTAATGTGTTTCATCTGCTAGAGTGTAGCTCATTTTAAGCAGTTGCCTACAGCAATCGAATTAAAATATCAGTTTCAAAAGAATAATATGAGAAGCGTGCATATACCCGTTTTTAAGCCTACCCCTTTTAAAGTTGATTGTGCCTTTCATCGGTTTTAATCTGCCAAGGAAAATTCTAACCATTCTTATCCAATTATTCTAATAAAAAATCATCCAGTGATTTAATGGTTCCATCAGTTTTCCTATTGCTACCACAAATTGGATCATGGAATTGGCGGGCAGATCTGCAATCAATTTTCGTTCCTTTTTTTACTTGCAGTTTAAAGAAACCCTATTTTAGTTCACAATACCTTAGTCAAGAAGCTTAGCCAATTTGATTTACGAGTAAAAAGATTTCGTACCTGCCAATTATCGTAAGCTCCTTTTTTGGTCTTTGCATCTTACAAACATTTACCAATTACCATGTACATTTACATCGAGCTCTTTATCGCTACTTTCTTTCACATCTCAAGACAAAGTTTAATATCAGTTCTCTAAAAGAGCCAGTCTTTGATAAACACGTCTAATTTACCCCGAATAGAACATAAAAGGCAACAATTGCTTAGGGGTTGAGTTCCTTGAGAAGAACATTCAGTTGAACCTATTTCCCGCCAGTTCGGTGATTCAGTTTGCGACCAAGTGAAAAGTAAATAAAAATTCCAAAATTCATAATGCTTTGTGAAGGTAAAGCTAAAATATTTGACGGGTTTAAAGCCATAAGGCTAGAAAGGGCTTTAAAGTTTGATTACAGATTTACAGCAGAATTCATAGTATTAACTGGGCTAGTCCCTATATCAAAATGCTAGATGGCTGCGATAAGGTATTAGTAGAGGCACTAAAATGTAGGCTTCTTCCTTATTTTTTATGTAGCCTTTTTCTAGCACAGAAAGAGACCAAACTATTCTGAACTCTGTGTGTGATATCTAAACCCGACAATCATTTTATGACTAACGTACTACTTTGCTGCTCAATATATTCTGCTTCTGAAACCTTCGTTCTACTTTGCAATAAATATCAATGTGGCAAGTAATGATTGTTGCTCCACATTGAAATATAATAGGGTCCTGAAGCAACCAACCATTTCTCAAGATAACAATGATCATTTGAAGAATCCTCCATTATTTGAAAAAAAGAATTTCAGTGTATGGGACAGTTTTCAATGATTTTTCTAAAAATATTGCTACCTCGTTACCCATTTCTGACTCCAATTATCTATGTTTGGTTTGCATGTGACGTAGATGTCAATTATCCAAAGAGAAGGCTCATTACTGTGTCAAGGTGCATAACATTAAATGACGTCATAGCTTGTCGTAGCATTTCGTAGACCACCTAACAAATTGTTGCTCGAGGTCAGTAGATGCAACATCCACTTCTACGCTTCAGGTGACATTAAGTCCAATTTTATTTTTTGTTATTCGTCAATACGGAGTTAACGAATATTAGTTTCTACAAAACCTTTTCAATTTCGGCTTTGTCAAGCAGGTGGCCATAATCAAAGATTTTCAAATATTTAGAGATACCACAGCCCACATTTCACATGAACTTGTCGGTGATTTTTGATTTTGAGGTACGACACTTCCTGGCCTGTGTTACCAGAGACCTACGTGAATCCACAAGAGTTGGTTTACTGTGAACGGCTTGGTTTTATATTGACGACTCATTCATGTGGTATGTGTTTTCTCCTGTTAACCTATCGTTTTTGCCACGCCTAGCCGCAAACATTCTCTTGCTGGTACTTGTACTGGAAATTGGCAATATTTAAACTGGCAAACACTATATTTTAAAAAAAGTTAAGTTTTCCTTCCTCTTGATCTGAGAATACCAACAGATTCATTTTTAGTCAAAAGCTCAGTTGAGGATGGCTCAGTGGTTAACTTCATAGATTATAGATCTAAGGGTTCGATTCCTGACCCATCTAGACTTTTACATAGGGTGAGGGGAGTCGCCACCGCTCTGCAATTCCAGACATAGCACGAGGGGGTGGTCATGCCGAGAGGAAGGACCAGGCAGTGAGGAGGGTTTTTTCATCGAGTTATGATATGAGATAAAACTAGTTCTATTGTCTGATGATCGCATTAAGCGTGAAACTCAGATTAGCAACTTAGAACCTTCCTGTTCTACACACCAAATAGCGTGAAACTATATATATATATATATATATACATATAATAGCTAAATAAGAATATCAAATTTTAAAATAACTTCACCCAAGAGGAACCCTGTTACAGTAAAATCTGGCCAGCATGTCATATGCTTTAAAGAAGGTCAAAACGAAGAAGTCATAAAAAACTGCGCAAAGGTATTGTGAAGACACTATCCTTAAGTGAGTGATAGAAAAAATTCTACCAAAACGGCGCTGATTAAAGATTTGAACCCCGTCCTTTGAGGGTTTCAATTTAAGATTTTATGTATTCGGCTATCAGACTTCATTGAAAAACGTCTTAACTATGACAGAATCATGCTATTTTGCTGTAGAATAAGGATAGAAACAGTAAAGGCTGCAGTGCACGTGATTCAAAACTGGCCGCAATCCCCGGTTTGGGAAAATGCCTATATTTGGTAATCGTAGCAGAGATTCACCGTTTACCAAAAATTTTTTCATCACGAGAGCTAAATATAATAGTAATCGGAGAGATGTAACTTTTGCCATAATATATGACTGGTCTACAAAATTTTAATTTTTCAGTTGTGTAAGCGCTATAGGAACGAAAGGTGAAATCATTAACTGCGTTCGATTTTTAGATTCTTTTGAAGACACGTATTTTATATGAGCAATCAGACTGTGGGCCGCCAGTAAGACTCTCGAAGCTTCATAAATTTCATGATATTACAGGTCTGAATGCTTACATCCCAATTAGTCACTGTTATGACACAATACTTTTTTGACGAAAAATCAAGCTTCAAAAAAGGCTATTCAAAGGGTGTAATAAGTAGGTTGTAATAAGTAACATTTGTGAATACTGCATTAACATTTCCAAAAAAAAGAATTCGTCCCATAAAACTGTTTGTGATTGACTGTGAAAGAAGACTGAATTTTTATACTGAGTATGACCTCACAGTATATATATAAAGAGTTCTACATCGAGTATGTTCATGTACTTGCACCATGCATGAGCCATCATGATCAATTGGAAGGGAGGAGGGAGACAGGCAGGAGGGAGGAAGGAGGTAGGAGGAGGGAGGAGGGAGGAGGGTGGAAAGAGGGTGGAATAAGGGTGGAAGGAAGGTGGAAGGAGGGTGGAAGGAGGGTGGAAGGAGGGTGGAAGGAGGGTGGAAGGAGGGTAGAAAGAGGATGGAAGGAGGGTGGAAGGAGGTTGGAAGGAGGGTGGAATGAGGATGGAAGAAGGGTGGAAGGAGGTTGGAAGGAGAGTGGAATGGGGATGGAAGAAGGGTGGAAGGAGGGTGGAAGGAGGGAGAGAGGGTTATGGGAAGCCGCCGTCCTCCTCATAATTACCAATACCTTTCTAAAAGAATATTTAGCAAAAATCAATGAAGACTATGCTCCTTTCTCAGCACTTCTCGGCCTCAAGGAATTTCACTCTGGTGGCACTGTGAAACGCTAGGTATTCAAAGCAACCCAGCTAGGACTCAAATCTGCCAGTCTAACTGACAAATAGCAATGACCAGGCAAAAAGTATATAGCTTTTACTGTTTTGTTCTGATATGATTCATTCAGGAAATTCTTATTATTGACTGTCTGAAAGAGGGCTTTGCATGTATGGATTTTGGTTGCGAATGTTAAGGAGCGTCCACATACGCATGTGTATATCCTAATTATGAACGATATAATTATTGAAAAACTGGCGGAAATTTTTAATTGGATGGACAGAAAAGTATATTGGATGAACAGAATCATTTTGGGTCCTTTTGTTGTAAAATATGCAACTTGCTATTGGTATCTGCAGACGTGACAATGTTTTACAACTGCAGTTTAATATGGTTTAATACTGCATTTTCAAGTATTTCTAGGCTCAATGTTTAATCTACCGATTTGAAATTCAGCCTACCTTGAAACTTGAATTAAATCATACCGCTATCATAGTGAAAATAGGAGCGTTTGAAAAGTCATAGAATTTTTAAACTCAAATTTTTAAAAACGTTTCTTAAGATCAAATCAGTTATTTCTTAACAATAGATGCACCCTTTCTGGCTCTCAGAAAACCATTGTTTTGAAAGCAAAGTTCCTTGGCTATAAGCTCGTAGCTGTTTAAAGTTCCTTCGAATAAGTTGTCTTCTACTGTCATCAGTGCATTCTTATTACCTAGACTTTTATCCCGCATTACATTTCGATTTGTTTTGGATTGATTGTATTTGAACCGCAAGGCAAATGACCTCGTTCTATACGTTATCGTCACAGTGGTAATAAGATCCGTTTTGAGAATTTATGACAAACAAATTTAGAATTCTTTAAGTTTTAAAGCCGACATTTAAACATCAAATAAGAAGAATCATACTGACATGATTTGACTGTTAAGTACAATATATTGTCAAAAGGACAAATAACAAGCAAGGGACCAGTGACTCAAGCGCTACGGGTATCATTCATGCAAACAAGACTAAAAATTAATCAATTCATCGACAGTAGCAGTCCCCAACCGATCAAAAACAGTCTGGCGTAAGTAGTATCTGCAGTGGTAAACCATTAATGAAGCAACTTTTAGCTTCTGTCTTTGTCAAATGCAAGTCACGGTGCACAAAAAAAATCAATTGCTACACAACACACGGTGGGTTCTGGCTGATATGGCTAAATTCCAACATGCGAGAGTTTTGATTGGGTACATTTCTAAAAAATGAGGTCTGAAACGGTTAGGAACTGGATTGAAAAAATCAGATTTTTTATATCTATAATAGTATGTGATATATCAGCAACTTTCTAATTTAGGAATTTTTGCAAAAAAGGATTGATACCGTAATTTACTTCTGCATCTATGTCAATGTCTTAGTGATAGGAGACAAATACACAGCCGTCCAAACTTTTCACAATGTCCTCTGGATTCACATGACAATGTGAAGATGTTGTACTGTGATTTAGTATTGTAAATGAGGCTGTAAGAGAAAAGGGAGATTAAGGCATACCGGAGAAAAAGGAGATGATAGTTAAAGTGATTTAGAGTGAAGTTGAGTAGAAAAAAGGTGTTTGAGAATTGAAGGAAATATTGAGGAGAATTCACGAGGTTTTTTGTGTTATTCTTGCCAAGTCGGATACTCCGTTACAACAATATTACTATCATTAGCCTTCACTGAATGAGCAAGTTTGATTTGTTTCAGAAATCTTTAACGCGCGTGAACAACCAGCACGAGCATAAAGAGAGCCTTGAGGGCATCCTACGATAATCTTATACTTTGTAGCTACACTAACGAATGATCCCGGAACTTAGCAGTAAGAACACTCACTTCATATATCAAAGATTCGTAAAGACAATGAATCTGATTGAGGGCAAATCTATAAACTCGACAAATTCGAAAGAGCAAATTCAAATTCGTTCAGGATCATAATACTTTGAATTAATTAGACGACAGAAATATTCCAATTTTTTCTAAGTTGACTATGGAAGAATTCAAAGAAAAAAGATTAATTAAACTGGTGGCCATCAAAAATTAGTAGTCATGTACAGTAACTGACTTTCAATCTAATCGAAAATAATATTTTTTATTTCCTGAGAGTTGATAACAGGAAGCAAAAAAGAAAGTAATTAGGAAAAAAATAGCAAGCGATTGATTTCCTTCTCCTTTCCCAACAAGGCTCATTATTCCTGTAAAAATTGCCTCTTCAAATTTAGTTAGGATTCAATGATATTGTTTTAATTAATCAGCATAGCACCAAATTTCTGACAATCAATAAGAATCACCGGCCAAGACATGGTTTTACACCTGCACTTGTTAATGCAAGTTGAGCCTTAAGTAAACCTAAGAATTAAGATTATGGACGACTGGTATGTTTCTGTGATTGTAGTGGAGGTCTTCGACGCTTGAAGTTTCTAATGGCAAGTTAACCTCAACGGGATGTTTGATATATTGCGTTCAATAAACACATACGTAGTGAATTCTGATAGACAATGCTGGATACAACGATTTATTTAACTGAAGAAAAGAAACAGAACCTGTATAACCAAAGCCTCAAAGTTTAAGCTAGAACTTATTTTTTTTAACTTTTCCCCTAACCGTGATTTTCGCCGTCCATCTAATGTGTAGTAAATATTTGAAAACCACTTTTGCAGTAAGCGTTTCTCTGATAGTTATCCAGGAATTTCGCTTTTCCTGTAACACAAGGCTGCACTGCTGAAAGTACGAAAATTTTCTTGTTTTTAAAGAGCTATTTTTGCCCAGCGCTTAAACACTTGTTGATTACCAAAGATGCTCAAGCGACTTCTTCAATACGGATCGAAACCAGCCAATAGGAGAAAACCTTTCCTGATTTGCTTTGTTTTGGCCAATTCATAGACTATGGCAAATTATTGTTCACATTTCATTTTGATCTGATTGAGAAGACCGGTTACGAAAAAAAGATCGCTTCTAGTTTTTAGATATACTTTATAGCTTACTTGAATTTGAATCTAGTCATCATCGATTGACCATAAACATTTCGTAATTACCTCAAGAGTTTTTTGGAAACAGTTTTCTGTCAGCAAATATTGTTCCTGCTTATTCTTGTCTCTAAAGAGATTATTAAAGAATTGCGGAAAATCTACTCTCACCTGCAGTGCATTTTTAATCAGTAAAGCATAGATTTCAAAATCATATTTTGATTTTTCCTAGGTTCCCAAAAGATGATGACTTCAAATATTCTTGAGCTACAGTTGTAGTTGTCACCTGTGCATTTTATCATCTCCTAATGTTCAATGTAAATAAAACTGGGTAGCGATTGCTTTTATTGAGCTAATGGACATGTTGGGGAATATAAGCCGCAACTTCAGTCAAATTAACTCTACTGGTGGAGACTCTATTGATGATAGCCATGTCACGAGGGCAGCTACCCTCGTTCTTATGCAAGCGTTCATCATTCCTGGTAACGGACTAATTCTCGCTGCAATTGGTTCCTTCAAAAAATGGTCAGTTTCTGATATCCTGATTGGCTACCTCGCTTTAATAGACCTTATAAACGGCCTAGGACCTGTAAATATCAGTTTAGTGATGTACTATGAAGATTCAGGTGGATTTCGTGGCACAGGCAACACTGGAGGGCTCTGCCTGTTTTATGCCTGGTCAAGCTGCTGCCTACGATTGGCAGCTTGCTTTGTTGCAACATCGATGGCAGTTGATCGATTTGCCGCTATCGTGGTGCCACTGCATTACAGAACAAGAGTTACGACAAAAGCAGTATCTCTCGGCTTATTGGTATTGTTGATAATCAGTGCAGTTATCGCTTCGCTACCTTTAGGCATCGAATATGTCCGCACGTATACACCGCTTTGCTCATTCGACTTTACCAGTCCATTTGCCGCATCCATTGCTGGGATTGGATATGTTCAGCTATTGCTCGTAGTGCTTTGCTATGTATCGGTGATGTTTGGCGTCAACTCATTTCTTTCGCGACAGACTTTGATAAAAGCAACACAGATTCGCGCATCTATAGCCGCATCAAAATCAAAACGAGAGAACACAAATGCCGAAAACTCTCAAGTGCTTTCTCGTGCGACTTTAAGCCAAAGCCACCCCTTGACCCATTTAACTGTTGATCAAACAGGAGGCTTCAACAGGCAGTTTAGAAGCTGTAGTCTCATCCAAATCTCCAAATTGGAACAAAGAAACGCTGATAAGCATCATCAGAATAGGAGCCTTAGCCTCACACCAACAACTATAAAACGAGGCTCATTGTCAAATATTGTACTTTCGAGGACTTACAAAAGAAGCCAAAGTTTATCAGTGTGTCCAGAGATTAGAATAAACACCCATATTCCAGGCATTCATTCTAAAGACAATGTGCTCAAGCGAGGTTCGGGATTCGAGACAATTCAAGAGTCAGAAACCGACAACGAGGCGCTAGTCCAGCTGTCGCTTAAAGATTTCAAAAGAAACAGTTCGACCTGGAAGCACAGTAGAAGACTTGCAATTGTAATGGGAATTGTCGTTCTTCTATTTTACATCAGTTGGATGCCAATCGTTGTAAGTATTTGCAATATGAGTTAGGGATCTGGGTTTAGAAGCAATCGGCAAATAGTGCCCTGGGTACCAGAGCCACATAATTTCGAGAGCTTAAACAGAAGATAGGAGTCGAGGAGCAGAGGCGTAGTGGCTTAAGCCACCCGATCAGCAATTGGCCAATCATTGAGCACAGCTATCAAGTGGCTAATATTGATTTGCAAATGGCTCTAGACACTTACGTTTCTGTGGATTGCCTTTAAGTAAAAACATTCTAGTTGCCATTCTTTTCAAACTCACAAAATCTTAAGTTGATTATACAACTTCAGCATGGTCTAAAAGGTTGCCATGGGAAGACAGCTAGGTAAGACAAATGCGTATGGGTATAGGGTTGGGAAATCGGTCACGTTACCAAAATGCCAGTAAGTTTGGAAAGGGTGTACTTAAAAAAGTAATGCATTAATGCTACAGTTAAGCATATACATTCACACTAAATTGGACAGAATGTATTGTACTATTACGTACTAAATAATTGCTTTTCCCGTGGTGACTAGTTACTGGGAACAATAAAACAGTTCCTCTCAATTGTGCGTAATTTTATAGAACTTTGAGTCTTTCTTAAGTGAATAATTGAGCAATTTGGCACTATTTTACTTAGTTTTTCGTACTTTTGAAAAACTACTCGTATTTTTGTTGAGGGATTATTTCCCAGGAATATTTCTATATGATCAGATTTCAGATCAAGATTCTGCACCAGCTGTTGTGGAAAAGGATTTTCAAATTCTAATGAATTCTAAGCAAAACATGTCTAAAACTACTTGGCTTCTTGAAAAATGTTTTATAAGTAGGCAGTAGAGGCTCATGTATTGAGTAGGAAGTTGGGGTCGTTGTAATTCACGATAAAGAAAAATATCAAATATGTTTTTCCCCAGACCTGTGCTCAAGTGAAAACTTTTCTTTGGACAACAGAAAACTAATTGATAAAACATTTTACCATTTTAGATTGCAATTACAATAAGTTTGAAGTCCAAGGAAAACAAGAAATCATTGCATTTTGCAGCTGCTAGAATGACTTTAATTTCGTCAATGATTAATTTCATTGTATATGGCTGCATGCTGAAACAATACAGACAGGCTTACAAAGCTGTGTTGAAACGGATTTGTATGTGCGGCGAATCCCCGCATAGAAGAAAAGCTGAAGTTGGTATGTTTTATGCAATTTTTGTCAATAAACGTACAAGCAAATTTTAAATGGAGTATAAGCCAGTCCGGATAGTAGACGCGCTTTTCTTGATTATATCATGTCATCTTCACAACTTTGTTTTTCTGTTGATGTCCAAATATGCTGAACAGTGGTAACAAAAGGAAAATTTGTTTAAAACTAAAACTAAATTTCAAGCCTCATTTTAATGGTTTTGTGGCTTTGCAGCCTCGATCACATTCTCGCCTGTGGCGTTTGGATTTTGTGATATTTCAAAAGAAGTATGAAATAAACCTCAGCTTGGCTGTTCCCCTTTCGTCTAATTTTTAAGCTGAAATATCTTTTAGTTGTTTCTTAAATTCCATGTCTAAAAAACATACAGATTTTTGAAGAACGACCTCTCGTAAAAAAATCTGTCTTGCAAACCGTTTTGTTTTCATAAACTGTATTTTTGAGTCTTTTCTGAAAAAGCTTACTGCCAAATACCTTACACTTTCTTTTGTAGCTAAGCCTACTAATGCGTCCTAAAATTGTCTTCAGTCCCAGCAAATCTATAGATCGTGTTGTTATAAATAAAAAGCTGCATTTTGAATCCTTAAAGGACAATTAAATGCAAATGGGAGCAGCCTGAACTTCTAGAACAATCTTATGACTAAGCCTACGTCCAGCGCACGAGTTAGGCCCTTTTGAAATATGACTTGATAAAAACTGAAATGAAGACGGATGTTGGCTCCAGGGTTCTCAGTATCTTTAAATACATAAGTAGCAGTATCTTTGTCGTAGAAAGTAGTGTTAATGGCGTAAAATTTGGTAAAAGTAGAAACAAAGGCTGCACTTACGTCGTAATTTCCATGTCCTTCGCCCCTATCCTTCGCCATGCCTTCACTGCTGCAGCCTTGTTCAGCAATAAATTTGTATCCATTCTCTTGGGAATGTTTTACTACTCTAGTTTATTATCAAGAGAATAAATTCTTGTATGAAAACGCTTTTATTAATAAATGTTGCAGTCACTTTGGGAATTTTCAAGGCGGCCTTTGGGGATCAGCAAATCACATGGAAAGTCATGCCTTGGAATGGACAAGAATGGAAAATGGCCTAAAATATGGAAACATTCGAAATTTTCAGCTGTCTTTACTGTATATGTATGACAATGCGTGACGATTCGGAGCATTAATAAAACTTTATAAGCCACGGAATCAAAAAAGGAATTGCAGTCAGTAGTGATGATTAAAATTTAAAGATTAAAGATTTGTTGTCTTATTTGTTTACAGAACCAGAAGTTAATGGTAACAAACGGCGCAAATGGTTTTCAAACAACACAGGGGAACAAGAAGCGAGAAAGGCAAGCGAAAAGCGTGTTCAGTTTAAGCATGTCCTTAGGAATACCGTTGCACCAGTCACGTGATCCAAAATGGATGACGTTATACATTCAGTCATGAATCAATTTCTCACTCTTTGGGAACAAAAAGCAGAGTACATCATTAAAAAGACTTTTACATGGACAAAAGCGCGTGTGATGTTGGCCTAATGTAGAAACAAACAAGCATCATCATAGCCCTGCTGTCAATAAAGCATCATTTAGGCTACTGCAATTACCTTAACTTAAATAAATGAAAAAACTAATAAATAAAGACGTACTTCATAAATGCCTGGCTGCTTTAATCAATAAAAAGTTACAAAAAACCTGCAAAATGCTTGAATAAATAACATGTAATCTAGAATTGTTAAAGGAGAATGTATTGAAATCCTCATTGGATACGTGTCGTGAACGTCCACGATGTTTTCACATACAATTGAAACCAAAAGTTTGTGCATATAAACTAACCGAATGTCTAACTAAACATGTACAATGACTGTTCTAGGTAAAAATTCCAAGCTGTTTGATGACGTTTCCTAAGGTAAAGTAAAAAGAAAAACTGAGGTGACGAAGTATATCTTTATGGGGAAAAGTCCCAAATAAATTGGACCATTGGTTGTGACAAAAATTGTATTTGAAGCTATGGGTTCAAGCTTTTCTGATTGAAATACTTATGAACTACGAGTGACGTCAGATACCAGGAATTCCAAATCATGGGGCTTATGAAATTAGATTATCTTAGAATGGAGCTTATTCTAGGGGAGAACCAAGCAAGGATATTAAGCTTGGGGAGGGGGAGACCTTATTCAAAAATTGATATTATTTTCGGAGGGGCTTAATTGAGACGAAAAATGTATCTAAAAAGTAATAAGATTTGTAAATAAACTGAAAAAAAACTGGATACAAAAGCTCTTAAAGTAAGTACAAAAACTTCATATATGTGCTCTAATGCAAGAGTAACATCTACAAGAAATTGCAGCCGATGACTGTTTTTTAAAATTTGACAGCATAACAGAACCCCCTATAAGAGAGGGGGCATATTCAAAACCTGATTAAAAAGGAGGGGGTTTTTTCGAGAAGGGGAAGTTTAATCATAACTCGGTACAATATGAGCGGAGGTAAAAAGATTTATTATTGTAGTTACGTTATCTATATAAATAAAAAATTTACTCAATCTTTTACCGACTTGTAAATATATTTGTTCGTACTACAATTAGCTTGATAGAATTCAATTTATCTGAATATCTTCGTGCCTCGGTTAAAATTTGTTTCTTGAGATAAAACATTCCATTCTCATTCTGCGTCTGAAGGGTTACCAGAGAGTAGCATCCGATGCAGCATCTACGTCTTCTGCGATAAATCATGACGTAAGACCCTTTTTCCATTAGCAGCATCCCTTGATACATCAAGGTAAATTCGAGGCCCGGAGATTATTTTCAGCACTGGCAATTGCAATTTTTAACAGCCTCATGAACTCATTGACATCAAAACTGAAGTTTCTGAATTTAGCATAATTATAATCCGGATCCGGCTCCTGCAATTAGAAACCATTGGTCTATACAAAATCTTCTGAAATGGGCAATATAACACGCGCAACACAGATCAACTCGTATAACAAAGATAAACTCGCGTTAACAGACACACTCGCATAGATCGTCGTAACATCACTCACTTCGAAGTAAGATTTAGATTCCTCTTCATCCTTTTTTTGTTCAATAAAATCTCAGCTTGTGCGCGAACGAATCGTTCCGAAGCCATGGAAAGCATTTTTTGCAATCCCAATAAAAAAGGGGGTTGACCAACTCTCTCAGATATTCTAACTCAGTTATTGTGGAGATTATTTCGTCTCTAATGTAGATGATTCATTTTGGAGTGTGATGTTGCAGTGCTCTAATGCCATACCTTCTTCTTATAAAAATAATTTGAGTCTTAGCAACATTGAGGGGTCCGTTCTCACATCTAACCATGTTTTGAGAAACTGCAGTTCTTTATAAACACCAATGTTGATTCTAGAAATCGACTTCAAGAAGGAAAATATTGTGTTGTCAACATATATAATGTTTAGCAGTAACATTACGGGATCCCACAGTTAATTCCCTCGAACTTAAATATGCTATGTAGCTTGCAGCATAATTTACTTTCTTTAAGATTGGATCCAATCAGCTCATAATTTTCCTTTTAAGACAAGAAACTCTAAACTTTTAGAAGAGTATCGACCGTACCAAACGCCATTTAAAGGTCTATGAAAGTTACTGATACTGCACTTTGATAATATTTTGGAAAACAATGATCTTTTGCTCTAAAACAATGGGGGAAATGTGATGTCATCTTATTAAAACAATAGGCTTGTCCCCCCAACATTTAACTAAGTGTCCCCCCTGCTCAAACTTTCATTAGTAAGGAAGGAAAGTTCACTAAGATATTAGTAAAGCTGGTCAAAAAACTCCTAGATACAAGAAAAAAACCGAAATAGGTCTTTAAATGTAGCGTTTAATCGATGGGCCAGCCTTGAAGATCGGTGCCACCCCAGAAATATTCCAGGTATCAGGAACTTGCTCCGTAAATCAATAACAAGTGCAAACAAGGTAGAAAGGGAAGGTGAAGACTAAATAATTAACAATGGCGTTGTAGAATGGTACCTTGTTTCCAACTTCGCACTAGTTTCAAATTTGTCTTTGTTCCAGCTTCGACTTGGGCTGGCTCAAGGATCATTTGCACTTTTTATCAATGCAAACTTAAACATCAGCTCCGCAATTACTGCCCCCTTGTTTGCTTGATTGCTCCGCTCAACCATTTGCCTCTCGTGCTTTTGTTTTAAGGCTACACTTTTCTCGCATTGAACTGAATTGCTTTTGGCAGAGCAAGCAGCGACACTAAAGTACATTCGAGTTTTAGCGTTGCAATATTTTGCCGCACTAAACTAAATTGGCTATCCAACAAAGTGTCTTTGCTATGACAGTATTTGTTCCATTTATCTACTTCACGATGAAACTTTTTCCAGTTTGGCACAGCAGAAGAGAGGCATTAAACCTGAAACTTTTTAAGGTGTTCAACTTTATAAAAAGTTAGAGCTTAAATTAACAGTTGGGGTCATACTTTCGTATCTACTCGATTATAAGCCGCCCTCGATTTTAGGCCTCAGCAGATTGAGTTCATTAAAAAATGTATGCCACCCTTGATTACAAGCCACACCCACCATGAAAAGAGATACTTAGTTTGAAATGACGGACGAAAAACTGATAAAAACCTGATAGTGTACTTGAACCAAGCAGGATCTGGATAAAATAATGCAAGTCGCCCTCTTTTGTAAGCCGCTCTTGTTTGTAAACCGCAAGAAAACGTCCAAAAAATCATTATCAGCCGCAACTTATAATCGAATAAAAACGGCATGTGGCATTGCTCGATCCTAATTTAAATTTAGGCTCATTCTAGAGATTTTTCAGGCAGTATCTTTTGAATTTGAAACAGGACCCGATCAAGACCCTTTGCCCTTGGTAGAACTGGAGATCCCTTGCATATTTCTCTGACTGCTCACTCGTTTGTTTGTCCACTTGCTCGCTCGCTTGTCTATTTGCTTGCTACCTGGCTTACCTACAGTGTTTTCAAGAAAATATGACAATACGTACGTCCGTTTCATCTTTTATCTTTTCATTATCTTCCCATGTGATGTATGTCACTCCCCTACAAATATGAAACATTGTTGAACATTATGAAATCGAACTTTTGATAAACAAAGAAAAACTAGGCGGAGGATGAACCAGGCATGCAAACAGTCATATTATGCGACTTCTAGAATGTCCACCTGCTCTGTAAGCGTCAATTAATTTTTCACAAAGAGCCCCTTTCGAAGTACCATATCTCTTTCCAATGAAATCAAGTCAATTGTAAACGATTTCTGTAAGGGCTATTGATCTATTTTACATGCAACAAAAAGCCCAAGGTTTATTTTATTTTATCAAAGCAAGAATTCATCTTGCTGCAATCATCGTCACCGTCACCACTTAAAGATGCAAGACTTAATGCATTTGCTGTCTTTTATACAATCTAAGCATCAAGGTAAGATTCTTCTTAGGTGCTTATAAAAATGCATATTCACAAATGTTGCGGAAGGCCATTTTGAATAAAGATGCAGAAAATAATTAGGAGAAAGAATGGGGTAGTAGCTTTGGTTGTTGATGTAACCTTATCGCTAGAAAAATCATAATGACAGGAATGCACACATGATGGTGCATGGAAAGAAATATTTTACTAACCGTAAACGAGATAGGTCTTTATAGCAGTTGACGTCATCAGTATTGTATCTAAAGTTATAAGAGACTTCACTTCAATGATAAAATCGATAGATAAAAGTTTTACAAAATCAAGTTTTGGGCACAAATATTTGAGGATGTTTAACTATTGTTCCGCAATTTGTTTGTCATATGCTGTTACAGAATATGTCACAGAGGAACATTACGCAAGGAGGAAAGTGGTCTTCATTCAAATAGGAAAAATGATGGCTTCATTCAAAGGCCAAAATTGTTCATTGTCACGAGTGAGAATGACTGGCAAAAATCGAGTTATAAAAAAATATAACAAAGTGATAAATCAATTATGATTCCAACTACGATTTCAACATCTTGCTTCTCCACGTCTACTCCAAAAAAACTCAACTAGATGGTTCCCTAAAAAGAACGAGAAACGAAGTCGAGTCCTATTGGGATAATTCTCTAATAAAATACAATACGATTTTAAATGCTATGAACAAAAGTCAAGAACAAACAACATAATACATAATTGAGTATAACAGTGCGAACCACGTCCCCCCTCCCCCAATCGACTCCCCCAAACGTTGTGTTCGATTAACCTTTTCTCTTCATCAGGTCAAACGTTCTCTAATCTTTTGATTGACTCAATTTGATATTTTATTCTGAACATACATTTGCTATCTCAAGATTCTGTCATTTACAAATTTGGTTCTGTCCAGGTAAACTAATGGTTGATGGTCTGTCTGTTTGCTAAACTCTGCTCCATTAAGGCAGAGCATACAATTCTTTACTGCCAATAATATTTCAAAATTTAATTTTCGATTGTTTTCTCACTCTTATAATGTCTTACTTGAGTCGCTGACTGGAAATAGTGAACCATAATTCTCTTGTAGTAACACTGCACCAATCCCAGTGCTTGATGCATCTATTCTCAATATACAAATTGTTTCCATTTTAACAATGAAACGTACCAACAAGTAAATGTTATTTTTCCTTGTAAACCCTTTTTCACATCAGATTTCGGGCATTCCACCTTTTCCTACGTTCGAGTTGCGCTTGCAACATCATCCAAGTTATCGAAACCCTGACCTGAGTTCGATGTGGAACAGAATCCTTGCTATATTATTCAATAGTTTTTTAATGGTTTGTAGCATAGTTATAGTTTGCCGTTATGTGTCTTTTTACATTGACCATGAGGTAGTAATTGTCTTTTGTTCCCAGTGGTATTGTACATGTAGTGTTGTATAGTAATTAGATAGGTTTTGCTAAACGTAACGAACATTGTAAGTTTTTATATTTGAATAAAAAAACCTCTTCAGTCCACAACTCTTTCAGTATCTCTACTAGCTCCCTAGCTGCTCCCATATGGTTCTCAAACGGTGGAAGCCTTGTAGATTCCTGAGGTACTTCTCTGTATGCAAACAATATAGCTGTTTCATATCTAGGCCACTGTCTGGGCTGTTCAATGCACAATCTCTCAAGCATTGTTCTGTTAAACTTTTCTACCAAACATCGGATGATATGATCTTGATACTTCTTTCATACAGTCTGATATGAACTGTGTACTGTTTTCACTCAAATCCTCTTTTGGAAATCTAACCTGCTTTACGTTAATGCATATTTATATCCATGCAAAACAGTTTAACTTTTACTGTTATCAATGCGAGTTGAATGTTGACGCTTTAGAAATGCAAGCATCACGAGAGAGGTGTCTAAACTGGTAAAACATCTTTCAACTCACAGTTCAAAAAGGACGGCCCAGTCTGGAAGGAAGAGAGCGTGGGTCAAGCCGGCGCCGTGAATTCCAATGAATATGTCTGTATTATGGCTAATCTGAAAGAACACGATAAGATGTAAATTTTCAGATACAAATAATCAACCCATTAGAAGCATCTCTATAAAATGATTTCATGAACACAGGGAAATTCAACTAGGCATTATAAGCAGTGCGGACTGGTTCAAGTCTCTTTGCCAAAATCACGAGCTCTTGCCCACAACTCTTCCTTGCAATACTTTCTTCCAGCTTCCCAGATTCTCACAGCCTGTCTTTATTCAAAACAAAAATTACCAAGCTTGATATTCCCTTCCTCTCTTCCAAACCCCTCCCCCTTTCCCTTGTTGGGGCTTAGCTATCTAATAATCTTGTTAGGGCTAAAATAATCTTTTTCTTATTACGAAGTGATAATATGTACACCTATCTTGAGAATTCCAAAACAGGTAACCAGAAAAATTCTCAAATTGGCATGAATGATTTGCGAAGATTTGAGAGATCTGCTAGCTTCAAAAGATACAGAAGAATTCTTACCTGTAATTGCTCAAGAAAAGGCATATTCCTAAAATCCAATTAAAAATTTCAATAAAAGCATCTAATTGTATTAAAATATAATCTTCGAGTGTAATGAAGATTTTTCCTTGTCCCTTTGTTCGCTAGAGTGACAAAATGGTTAAAAATATTGTGCCATTTATAGAGAAAACTCGATGACCTTGTGTGGCACTATATGAAGTAGCTGTGGCCTAGTCTTAATATTATAATTGCTTATATAAAAAAAATCTTTAAAAAGGAATTAAAACTAATTCAAAGCAGTCAATATTCGAACAAACAGATGCGTTTCCACGGGACCGGTTCCAATTGGAATTGTAACGATTTTGGTACGGAATACGGATAGGCCTCGCGCTCCAACGGGACTGCTAGGAACGGTTCCATTTGGAACTTCTAACTGTACTCAAATGGGTCTACTTACGAAATAGATCTCAATTGGAACCGTAATCGTGGAAACTTGTGGAACGGTTCCAAATGGGTACGGATAGGAAACGAGAATCGTGGAAAATCCCTTGTTTCCTCCTCTCTAACTGGGACCTGTTTCATAAACAGTGCAGTCAAGTCTTTTGCAGTAGAGAATTGTCACCCAGTTTTCCCTTCAGCAAGCTTTGCAGTTTTGTAGTTGACAGGGCCGTCGCTAAGCACTTTCACTAAGGGGGGTGCCAGTCACCAATTTGCCGACAAAATAGGGCGTGGCCTAAGATATTACAATCTGGGGGTGTGGAATTTTGACGAAATTGATTTTGTTTAGCAAAGAGGATGTTTTCGTTAATCTATCATCGCTTCAATTTTCGAGTGACTGTGGGTATATAGGTTTTGAAGGCCTTGAATCAAAACCGAAAGATGATGTCCCCTTGCGAGCGGAGCGAGCATGAAATTTTTAAGACCACGCCCTTTAGATTGTCTTAAAATGCATTTCAGAATATTTCTTGCAGTCATTTCTTGCAATCGTTTAGAACTTTTAACTATTTTTAGGCATACCTACGTTTCATTGATTTCATTCTTAAAATGGAGTTCATTACTTCTTGAGGCCCCCTCGACCTCAAGGCCCTGAGGCACTTTGCCCCCTTTCCCTGCTTACAGTGGCTTCCAGTACCTCCAGGATCAATGTTCAGAGTTTTTCAATAAACTTTTACCCTTCCCTAAACCCCAAACTTTAGGTAGAAATTAGGTCGCCCTGGATATTGGATATTAGATTCTAGACTCTGGCTGCCGAAAGGGAGTCATTTGAAGTTTTTGGGGGACATTTGCCCCTCCGTGACACCCTTAGAGCTATCTTTTCCTGTTTTGAGTTGCTGAGGGCTTTTGGGCAATACTTTTAAGTTCACATCCTCATCTTATCCCAACTGTTCGCTTAAGCTTTTGCTTTGGGACCTTTGAAAGCAAAACCCGACAAAACTCTTCTTTTAGAAAATTTGCCGACAAGAACTTTCTAGGGGGGTGCAGCTGCAGTTTTGCCATAACCAGTTCCAAACGGAACCAGTCTCGTGGAAACACAAGGCCTAACCGTATCCACTTTGATACGGTTTGAAACGGAACCATTCCAAGCGTTCCCGTGAAAACGCAGCCTAAATGCACGTATTTCCACATAATTCCATAATTTCATACCAGTTGAAGTCCACAGCATCCACCAAGACGTTTGGAATTGACTTTATAGATTCAATTAACTGCGAAATAAGAATATCATGCTTCTTATTTTTCATTGAGCAACAGGAGGTACATTTCAATATCTCAGTATAAGATTTTTTGTTACGGTCCCCATCCTTGCTGTTTTTGTCGTTCCTTGCTCTAACTCTTATTTTATTTCTTTATTTTGAATATACTTACCCTAGGATACAACTCAATTAAACAATTACGCAATTACTTTCCAATTGTCCCAGCAAACGAAATAAACTTAACCATTTAAGATAAAAACCTTTTTTCAATAATTTGATATGAAGTAGCTACTAAACGTGTTGAAGAAAAATAAAATTGAAGTTGCAGATCAGCTTTCCTTGAATTTTCTCTGTTTAGAGCTTTTAGTTTCGTTTTGAATCACTGGATCGAAGGGACTTATTTCATTTCTGAGTCAAGTCTATTCCATGCGTTTGCTCCTCGAAACACAAATGGTTTTTGGTCATAAGTCGTTCAAATATTTGGTATATCACGATTACATTTTGCATTACGTAACACTACGGTATGAATATTAGACAATTCTTCGAAAATATATAAAAATAAGATCTAGAAATCGACTGGATATAGCACGCGGTCAACATGCATAGCACAATCAGGGAGCCTGTGTCGAGGATATTGGGATCACTCCTTCCGAGAGGTTCGAAGCATTATAGTCAGACTTGCAAAAACAGTACAGAGTTGCACTTTTTGTTCCACCAAGGCTACGTTGGAGGCACCTCGGTGCCATCGTTGCTGTTGTTGTTAAGTCATGATTCGTCAAAACTGAAGTTCAAAACCAGCGAGGTTGGGAATTCAAAACTGGCATAAATTGCGTTAAGTTCTTATGTTCGTTCGTTCTTATGTAAACTCTCGTTTAGTTCAGATTGGTTCGCACTCGAATTATCATTAGAAGGCCTCACTTAGAAGGAATCACCTTCGATACAATCTCAAGATAAAATTATTCCAATAAACTAGAAAGTTAATAAAAACGTATAACACGAAAAAGAAATGGAACAGAATTGAAATTACATTACCTGGTCTTTGTTGACGATTTTTCGATACATGGTGGTCCTGTACAGAAACGTTATCCTTAAAGGCCCAGACTAGAAACAGAGAGTACAAATTGAAAGAATATATGCAAGAAAATTGTTTATCTCTATTTGCAGGCCTTAAAATGCTTTAAAATGCTGGTCCCTGAACCACGTAAAGTTGACACTTCATTAGAGGTCTCAATTCGAAGCAAATTTTCGTTTAAGAAGCCTACGTGCTAACGAATCAGTAGTCGCTAGTTACATTGAAACTTCGTATAGAGTGCAGAGCATGCTCTGAAAGGAGGTGCTAGAGAGAAAACAGCTGTGAGTCTGACCCATGTTGTTCGTTCTCACAGGCAACAAAATTTGCCACAAACCTTCGACTTTCGTTCCTGTTTCACGTTCAAGCCATTGAGGACGTGCTCAGAAAATGCTTTGAACAAGCTACTTCTGGAGCAACCAGGAACCTGAAATTAATAGGTTTTATGAAATAAAAAACAACATATAAATAACACACAGGGCAAACATCTGAAAACAAAGATATATCATAGCATAAATACCAAGACAAATGAGAATACTGCCAATACACAAGACAATTAACGCAATATTTACTTACCACAGGCGTAGAATAATACATGCCAAAGGCCATACGAGGCAACAGCCCAAAAACAACATTCTCGAAGCAGACCTAATGAGAAACGATTAAAGAATGCAACATTCCAGATGTTGAGTGCAGCATGCAGCAAAGAATTTAACTTTACGCTATTAGCGTACAGAACAGGTTCTAAGTTGCTACTCCAAGTTTAAAGCTTAATGCGATCATACATCATAATTATATTGTCGTAATAACCCTGCCACTTAATTTTGAGATGTTTTATGATGAAGTTTTGAGGTTGGAATACCCAGGCTATGAAAACCCTTCTACAACATGTGTTACGTGCAGACTTTTTATATTGTTTTAAGCTGTACTAGACATATTATATGTCCCGCCTACATTTGAATCTGATGTATAATTGTCACGAATAGTATAATTGATTTAGTTGATTGCTGAGCTTCTAAGGGAATGTTTGTCGTTTTTTTCTGATCCTCGCCTTCGAACCTTAAACGTTACACATGGGCATGGCTAAGGCCCCGTATATATGAGCCTGGGCTAGATTCCAATCCGGGTCAGGTCACACGCTACAGTAAAACAATTTACGTTTATACGAGCCCGGGTCTGCTGGTTCCTTTAGAGTGTTGAACTCACACAGGTCAGCTTAATATGTTAGCTCATATGTAAAAATGACTCCACATTGGCTACCTCGAAGTGTTTACACGACCCCGGGTTGAGCTGACCCGACTTCACATGAGAAAACATCTCAACGGATCACCCCTACCCTGGAATAGGGTTACCCGTCAAGAAGGGTTGAACGGGGTTCGCTGCTGTTACCATGTAAACATTTGAAGAGCTTTGACCGTAGACGGGCTGACCTTCGAAGGTAGGTAGCAGCCAGCCCGGGCACGTGTAAACGGGGTCTAAGTCTAAAGCTGTGAAGATTGACCTATGCCCCACCCCATTTTACATGACGTTATTGTTGGAGGGGAAAAACATGAAATTTGGTGCTAATGGCACTATTGGGGGTTTAAGCCTCCCTTGTCAACAACACCTATCCACAGAGGGGGCTTCATCCTCTGCCCCCATGCCACTGGGTTGTAGCAGAAGAAAAATACTTTCAAATTCACTCTACAATATTCAAAAAGGTTTTTGCATTTGTACCACCTTCAGTGTGGCTTCGTTTACCTTCTTGTTTGAAAACTTTTGCCAGATGGGATAAACTTCCGTTGAAAATGCTTCCCAGGTTACTTTAAACGGACCAAGCTTCTCTGAGGTCTACAATTTAAAAAGGATTAAGATAACTCACCATAAAACGAAATTTGCAAACTTCAACAAGTATACAAAATTTAATTTACGCCATTGGCTGATAGGCATTAGAATCACAGGCCCACAAGGCGGTACTGGGGGTTGCAGACAGCTTTGAAATAGCATACTGTGGCGTTATTTCAATATGCTTCAATGGCGGACACCTGGGGGGGGGTCACCCCAATCGTCTTTTGTTCTAAAACAATGGGGAGATGTGACTTCATCTTATCAAAACAATAGGCTTGAATACAAGGGCAATTAGACTTCCAGGCCCAGTCTTAAAAACAAGAGACAGGTGCCCTCTTCTAAAAAGAATAAAATTTTGACCCCAAGGTTGAAGTCCTCAGAATACTGGGTATATGGACTAGACTATAAAAATCCTTGAAATTCACAGAATTTTCAGTAAATTGATCTTTTGTTTGCTGGTTGACAAACGACAAAACATTTCAGAATCCTACAGCCCCACAGCTAGAGCAAAAGTAAGAGGGAATAAGATGAGAGGGTCGTTTGGGGAATTTATACAAAATGAAAGGTCATGTATGACCACACCCCTGTGCAACAAATACGGCGATAACTTTTCTTCAACGAGAATAGCAGGTAAATATGGTAGAGGCAGCAAAATTTGTCTTGGGCTAGAAGGGGATGAGGTGTCGTGCCAAAAAGGATTGGGTACAAAAATTCTTAGCTAGAAGGGGAGGTTGGGAAATGGAAAATGCCCGGCTCATTCGTTTTCGAAAGGGAACTTCCAAGTCGGGACAATTCTCAGCGGGAATGGATTTCATCGGGCTTGCTACACTGGTTCACCATCATATTTACAATGGACGAAAATAATGCAATGCAAGGACATACCTGCCATAATGCAATGCTCACAGGCTGATACAGACTTCCGTTGACATGTAGAGTGACATACAAATTGAAAAAGTCACAAAAATGGTGATAAAGACTTCCGACTGTAGAGAGAAAAAAATAAATCTTAATTGGAAAATGCTTTGGGACCACCCATTGAGCCATTGAAAGTGATATAAGAAGTATTGTGGGAGATAAAAAGGAAGAGAATGCAATTGCAAATTCGCAAAAATCTAGCGAAATGTGCTGGGACTATGTTAAGTTGATCAAGGTACAATCTAGAAAAAATAGGTTGGCTGATTTTGACAGTATGATTTCTGAGTATAAACAGAATAAAGATGAGCTTCTACTTAAATCTACTTTAAATCTTTCGTTATCCGTATAAGTATCACCTTTAAACCTCTAAAAAACTTATAGACTTGACTTTACAGAAGAACAGAATTGCCTTTACTGAGGCAAATCTCCCAAGGGCCCTCAGCCTCCGACCCATTTTACTGTCCATAGAACCTGACACAGCTATGTTCAAGTAGAATCTTGAAGACTATATCAAGTGTGCTAACTCAATCAGGTGCTAACTTGATTAAGTTCAGAAAGTGGTGGAAAATATCCCGCTTTAACTTCAGTCTTCGCTTTAAAATACTCAAAATAAAAACAAATGCATAAGTAAAATATTGACTCGCTAGAAAAATAAAAGATATTTCAATAACAGTAAATGTATAAAAACAATAGTATATATTTGAATGATGGGGATTTTACAACGAAGAAAATCTCTCCGTTCCTTGTGCACTGAGGAGGAGCATTTATGTTCAAGGAATGAAGAAGAAATTCTTCTATATTGGTACTATTGAACCAGCTTTTGTTCAAGTATTTTGACTTTTCTTGTGATCAAACAACTCCTTTTTTATCTAAGCTTCGTTTTCAAATCCTCAAATTCTATCGGCTTTGCCCAAGGACACAGAAAAAGCTGCTTGACATTATAGGAAAGTTGAATAAACATATGCTTGTTAAAATGATTTGTAATGATTACGAGTAAAAGTGTATTGAAATGTATTTCGAAACGATTTGCACTAATAACATTATTTTTCTGTACTGTTCTGCAATTTAGGAAACAATTCTGTTTCTCTCTTCGTTTTTGCCATTAGCTTATCTCTTCTTGTGAGATTCTCTTTAAGTTCTGCTATCTTCTTGCATTCAAATTTCCTTATTTGCTCTTCACGCGTTCGATCTTTGTCTTTGTACCTTATCCTTTCTTGGCCACAATTTTCTTATTCTACAGTTTTTGTTTACTCCATCCTTCAAATTCCTTTTTCTTCCCTTCCTTCTATCCTTTCCCTCTTTCTGTCCTTTCCTTCTTCCTCTTTCCCTTTTCTTCTCTTCTCTTTCCCTATTTCTAGCCTTCATCAGAGTCCATCTAGCAATTTTAGAATGTAGAGACATAAGAATTAACATACTGTGTAGCGCTATTGTGTAGATAGAAGGAGTTTGATTTCACCCTTCGTCTCCATTTGTAATACTGTCAATAGGCAAGAGGTACTGAGTGGACAATTTTTAGCTGTGCTTGCGTTCTTGATTGGCCTTTTTCGATTAACAGCTGCAAAAATACATTTTCTAACTAACCATCTTCGATTTCCATTCAACTTCTGACAAAAGCTTAAGTTTGTCTTTAAATGTTTGGTTTTTCAAAGCAATTTTATGAATTTTGTGCCATTATCCTTTTTCTTCTTCTTGATCTTTTTCAGGAGGAGGAAACCTCCTGAAAAATCGCCCCATGCACTTGTCTATTTCTGTTTCAACACGAGGAGAGTTAAAGATAAAGATATTGTCTTTTGATGTGGAAAAGACCAATAAAAAAAGTTCCTAATTCCTGATACTTAAAATACATAATTAAAGGGATTACCCGATATATGATAAATTAGATTCAATACCAAGTAAAAAATTTACATACTAAAATCAAGATCCATTATGATAGTTGGAGTCTTCACCGTGACATCACAATTTTTAGATTCGCTTGGCTTGAAAGGCAGTGCCTCAAAACTATCGACGTCATTTGCAGCCCTGTTAATAAAATAAAGAAAAATTTATGCAAAAGGAAGGCAAAAAGCCAGACCAACCAATACTATATTTTCAATCTAATCTAAAGAATATTTTGACAAATTGCAAGAAGAGGTCTTTTTGCACTGACTTGGGCACTTAATTAGAATTTTCTTTGCAATTTTCAAATATTTGACGACTTCAAATAAATTGCTTTACTGCTTCATTCGTTACGTCAAGGGGGCTAAGTTTTAAGAACTATTTTGAGAAGGAGTTCTCTTTACTAAAAAACTAGTTTTCTAACTAAAAATAAAGCATTTTGATTTTAATACCAAATACCTCCTTTAGACTCCATGTTGAAGGAGGTTCAAACAGAACAAATTTTCTAAAAGCATTTGATGAACAAAACAACAAACCATGAGCGTAGCTTGTCTCTAAAGACATCAGGATGTCGAAAATGTTCTGTTTGAACATCACATGACCCACCAAACTGCCCTTTACCAAAAGGCTTTGACTGAGCCCTACAACAAATAACTGATTGATAAACAAACTGACGATGTATGAATACGCTAAAAATGATTGTAGTTGACAAGAAAATTAGAAGGATATTTTCTCTCCTCCATCGTAATAGTATTCTGTAAAAGATATTGGGGAAATTCAAGAAATACAGTCAACTCTTGATAAATCGTTGATCCAAGGGACCAATGAAATGGTTCGAGACAAGGAATGTTCGAAATTTTCAAAGGAAATTCAAATAAAATTAGTGGGCAAGGGGAATGCAATATAAGTTCGACTCAGCGAATGTTTGAATTATCAAGAGGATATTCAAATAAAATCAGTGGGCAAGGGGAATGCAATATATGTTCGATTTGGCGAATGTTCAACTTACCAAGGGGATTTTTAAATGAAATTATTGGGCAAGGGGAATTCAATACAAGTTCCACTTAGCGAATGTTCGAATTATCAAGAGGATATTCAAACAAAATCAGTGGGCAAGGGGAATGCAATATATGTTCGATTTGGCGAATGTTCAACTTACCAAGGGGATTTTTAAATGAAATTATTGGGCAAGGGGAATTCAATACAAGTTCCACTTAGCGAATGTTCGAATTATCAAGAGGATATTCAACAAAATCAGTGGGCAGGGGAATGCATATATGTTCGATTTGGCGAATGTTCAACTTACCAAGGGGATTTTTAAATGAAAATATATTGGGCAAGGGGAATTCAATACAAGTTCCACTTAGCGAATGTGTTCGAATTATCAAGAGGATATTCAAACAAATCAGTGGGCAAGGGAAATGCAAATATATGTTCGATTTGGCGAATGTTCAACTTACAAGGGGATTTGTTTAAATGAAATTATTGGGCAAGGGGAATTTCAATACAAGTCCACTAGCGAATGTTCGAATTATCAAGAGGATAGTGCGAAATGAAAGCAATTATCTTGTGATTTACTTGACAAGGGGGAAATTCAATACAAGTTCCACTTAGCGAATGTATGAATTATCAAGGAGGATATTCAAACAAAATCAGTGGGCCAAGGGGAATGCAATATATGTTCGATTTGGCGAATTTTCAACTTACCAAGCGGGATTTTTAAATGAAATTATTCGGGTAAGGGAATTCAATACAAGTTCCACTTAGCGAATGTTCGAAATTATCATGAGGATATTCAGAACTAAATCAGTGGGCAAGGGGAATGCAATATATGTTCGATTTGCGAATTGTTCAACTTACCCAATGGGGATTTTTAAATGAAATTATTGGGCAAGGGGAATCAATACAGTCTTCACTTTAGCAATGTTCGAATTATCAAGAGGATATTCGAATCGAAATTATTGGGGTAAGGGAATTCAATACAAGTTCCACTTAGCGAATGTTTGAATTTATCACAGAGGATATTCAAACAAAATTCAGTGTGCAAGGAGGATGCAAATTATAATGTTCATATGGGCGAATGTTCAACTTACCAAGGGGTTTTAAATGAAATTATTGGCAGGGAATTCAATACAAGTTCCACTTAGCGAATGTTCGAATTATCACGAGGATATTCGAATGAAATTATTGGCAAGGGGAATTCAATACAAGTTCCACTTAGCGAATGTTCGAATTACAAGAGGATATTCCAAACAAAATCAGTGGCAAGGGGAATGCAATATATGTTTCGATTTGGCGAATGTTCAACTTACCAAGGGGATTTTTAAATGAAATTATTGCAAGGGGAATTCAATACAAGTTCCACTTAGCGAATGTTCGAATTACAAGAGGATATTCGAATGAAATTATTGGGCAGGGAATTCAATACAAGTTCGACTTAGCGAATGTTCGAGTTATCGGGCTTGCAGTTATACTGTAATTCTCTTCCTGCACCACAAAAATGTCATATTTGAAAATATCACACTATTGTATCTTTTGGTTATATTCCGCTAGTATAAGAAAACGTAAGATATTTCAGGCAACAATCCTAGGACATAGCTTTCAAGTCCAAACGGCGAATAGTATGCATTCATAATCAATCATATACCTATCTTTTCCGTTGAAGAATATGTTTTGTTTATAGCAAGCAATCAACATTGAATGAGGGGTGGGGGTTAGTGTAAATATAAAACACAGTTTGTCAAGGTTTGTACAATAAATTATAGCTTCTAGTGTGAAATATTTAGGCAACTTGAGGATAAATATTTCTATATAGAGGTTTTTACTATACCATTACAAGCCTGAAAACAAGCGATATTAAATGAAAAACAGTAATATCTAAATCATGGGCCATTGAAGCATTATCTTATTTGCTTTTAATGCATTGAATATATTCTTTATTTTTTGGTTAGTTAAAAAAGACACTCTATTTGGTTATGTTTTTTCATTACTTCGTTAGATTGGATTGAACTTTGAGTATCATATTGCTTTGTCATTTAAAGATATGCCTGATTTATATTTAAAAAATTTGTTCGCTTGACAAAGGCAGCTTTTT